CGGCCACTTAAAAAAAACCTACTTATTTGGCTCACCCAGTATAAATAAAAAATAAAACTCCAAAGTCATCGGAATGAAAAACTCACATCTCGTTCACAGCTGATGATCCCGATGTAATCCATGTCTAAATATTCTCCAATCAAATCCACAACAGAATTTCACTGATTTTTCGATTTGAATAGATATGAATACACATTTTAGGCTTTGTTTCTGAGGACAAATGATGGAAAGTCATTTGCGTCCACGGAACTTTGAATTAGTTTCTCAAAAATGAAGAAACGAACGTTCCTTTGTACTGCTAACAATGAAAAATCCGCGAACAAAAACGTGCATTACTCTCGAATTATCAACGACCGCCGCACTTTTTCGACGGATAAAAAGATAAATTGGAGCTTGGCACTTAAAATTCCGCGACGTGAAGGATCTTAGTAGGCCTCGAGCTAAGCGTGCAAGCGGTTTGGTACTGACCGAGAAATAAAGAGAAGTTGCAAGTGCTCGGCAGGTATCATCTGCTAGTTTGCAATGAGAGAAGATGAAAGCAAAGGTGCACGTGTATTTGCACCCGTGATGCTCACCTATTTACTGGTGATTTAACGGGTGTTTACACGAAAAAAAAACTTGAAAACTGTAGTGTTGGAATATTGGAGGTTCCGACTTTCATTGTATAGAAATATGTTAACAGATTTGAAAACTACGAAAAAAAATAACATCAAACTTTGTGAATAAAATATTGAAACAAAAAAATGTGGAAATCTTCCAAAGAAAGTAAGGAATCAATTGATTTCAAAAGAAGTAGGTAACTCTGTACATAGATGTGTAGATTATGCAAAGAAGTAACTTTCAGACACAAACTGGAAGAAAAAATCCTCTTGAAACAGCTACTTTCATATAGATATTTAATTACACGAAAGAAAAATTCTTTCAAAACAAATACTTTTATATGAACTGTATATGAATTATACAAAAAACAGTTTTCTCTACTCAGTTTGTATTCCAAACATTTGTTATGGAATTGAATCAGATATCATTCACAAGTTCAAATATCGAAAAGAATCTAAAAGTTGAAGAGCCTGTAAACCAAGGATTTGTAATACAATATCAGACCAACTCTATTTAATAAGGTATCTATCACTATCTCTATTACCATTTCAAAAAAAATGGGGGATGATAACACCCCCTAAGAGGGTTGAAGATTTTGCGCGTTTTGATTTAAAAGTTGCCACGCTTAAAAAAACTTGACGTGTTTCTGTATTTTGTTTTTGTAATTCTTTTTTACCCTGTAATACCTTGCGGTACACGTTTTCGATATGGGATACTCGGAATACAAAAGTATGTGTTCCGATTTTGAAAATAATGGATAGTTATATAATTAACGATTTCTATGATTTTCTTCTGGAGAAAAATACGAGATCGGAGAGAATGGGCAGATCTCAAGTACAAGTACTTGGACCTCATCTAAGATAAAATGTTATCTTAGATGAGGTTTGTTAAAAAATTCATGTAGGTGTACCTAAGGAATATATAGCACATAAACCCATAGAGAGGGATTATAGTACCAATTTAAAATAATGAAAATTTCAAGAAGAACCATCTAGTGACATCTAGTAGTAAGTAGTTCAATGTTGAAAGTTGTAAAAAAACTCATTTCAATTCTTTCCGAAATGCTGATGTTCAATGTAGTATTTTTGAAAATATATAAAGACTAAATCCTTAAACAATGGATTGGTTAAGTTATGAGGGACGAAATAAGATAATTGAAATGACAACAAATGTCGCCATAACAATGTATTAAAAATGACAGTAGCTAAAGCCTTTGTATAAACTATCACGTGAACTGTTTTAGGCGTACATGAAGTGACTATATCAACGGCATCGTTTCTACGTTGACATTACACGACTTCATGAAATATCAATTTTTTTAAGTGAATAGTATAATAGTGAATAGTAAAAAAGTCGTGTTACAACCTATGAAGAAAAATATACAAGATATGCACAGCTTTCACCAAAAACTAATCAAAATGATAACTGGAAAAATAATGATCGGGGCCTTTTTGTTTGTCTAGACGCTTGAAGCGTACGTGATGACGGGCTTGAACATCGTGTTGTAGATGAAGACCGTATCTCTAAGGCCGAACTTTGATTTTCTTTTTATCAAGAGGTACAAACTATTAGTTCGCCCTGGATTTTGGACCTGATGTTCGGTCTATCATAAGACCCAGGTACTTCACCCGCGATTGCTAGTCGATCTCCCTACCAGGGGTTCTCACTTTCACAGCCGGAGAAGATATAGTTCTCATGGTTATCCGCTAAGTTTTGTTTGGATTCAGTCGGATCTTCCAATTTAGATACCAGCGTTCGATGTCGTCCAATACAAATTGCATATAGACAACATCGAGTTATCGATCCATGAAAGAAGCGGAGTGAGCCGTGTCATTGGCGTATAGTGAGACCTTCACACGCTCGGACCTCGTAAAATCGCTTGTGTACGAGGTATACAGCGGGGGAAAAAGCACAGCCCCCTGGGTCACCCCGGCGAGGATTTTGAACTCCTGGGGCTCCTGAGGCCCAAAATAAAGGATATAATACATATCTGTATAGTTGACAAATTCTACAAATATTATTATGCAAATATAAGTGCAGATATAAAAAAATAAAAGAGTGGTGCAACTCTAATCTGCTGTCTTTCAATGTTTCCAAAACAAATTTAATATCATTCCGCTGCTTTGTTGACAGCATTCCTTTACCAACACAGAATGCCGACAGGATAATTGAAAACAGACCTAGTACTAAATTTATGGGGGTAATAATTGACAATAAACTCAAATTCGCCGATCACATTGTAACCCTCAATAAAAAGTTAGCTTCAGGGTGTTTAGCAGTGAGGATAACATTTAAGGATCTTGGTTTGTCTGCCGCTAAATCGGGTTATTTCTCACTTCTTGAGCCACATTTAAGGTATGAAATTCCTTTCTGGGGAGTATGTTGCAAAACTCAAATGCTGACGGTGTTCATTATTCAGAAAAGGGCTATAAGATTCATGTGTAATGCCAAAAGTCGAGACTCCTCAAACCCCTATTTGAATTACATAAAATCTTGACAGTTTTTGAAATCTTTATTTTAGAAACATTATGTTTAATTAAACATAAATTGATATTTAGCGGTTACTCCAATTATTATGCCCTTCGTCAATCTAATGACCCAAGATTACCCATACCAGCCTCCACTCTAGTTAAAGAAGACAACATCGAGTTATCGATCCATGAAAGAAGCGGAGTGAGCCGTGTCAGGTATACAGCGAGGAAGAAAGCACAGCCCCCTGGGTAACCCCGGCGAGGATTTTGAACTCCTGGGGCTCCTGAGGACCAAAATAAAGGGTATAATACATATCTGCATAGTTGACAAATTCTAAAAATATTATTTAGTTTTACATATGGAAAGGAACTTTGACGTCATCTAAGTTCTCTGAACCATTTTCGATAAAAAAATAACACATATGACGTTTATGGAAATATTAATAAAAAAGAGTCATCAGCAGCAGTGTTCTGTGACTTTGCTAAATCCTTTGACTGTGTAGATCATGGAATACTGCTGAAAAAACTATATCACTATGGCATTCGTGGAATTATTCACAAGTGGTTCGAACATAATTTCACAGGAAGAAGTCAGGTTGTGAAAACCTCATCATCCTCATCAGAAGGCGAAATAAAACATGGCATACCACAAGGTTCAATACTGGGACCGATACTTTTCCTGCTATACATAAACGATTTGGCATCTACCGATATAAAAGGAAAATTCACCCTATTTGCTGATGACACCACAATATTGTGGCGTGATAAAACTTTATGTAATCTACACGAGAATATAAGAGCAGATATAAAAAAATAAAAGAGTGGTGCAACTCTAATCTGCTGTCTTTCAATGTTTCCAAAACAAATTTAATATCATTCCGCTGCTTTATTGACAGCATTCCTTTAACAACACAGGATGCGGACAGGATAATTGAAAACAGACCTAGTACTAAATTTCTGGTGGTAATAATTGACAATAAACTCAAATTCGCCGATCACATTGTAACCCTCAATAAAAAGTTAGCTTCAGGGTGTTTTGCAGTGAGAATAACATTTAAGGATCTTGGTTTGTCTGCCGCTAAATCGGCTTATTTCTCACTTCTTGAGTCACATTTAAGGTATGGAATTCCTTTCTGGGCAGTATGTTGCAAAACTCAAATGCAGACGATGTTCATTATTCAGAAAAGGGCTATAAGATTCATGTGTAATGCCAAAAGTCGAGACTCCTGCAAACCCCTATTTGAATTACATAAAATCTTGACAGTTTTTGGAATCTTTATTTTAGAAACAGTATGTTTAATTAACAAACATAAATTGATATTTAGCGGTTACTCCACAATTATTATGCCCTTCGTCAATCTAACGACCTAAGATTACCCATACCAGCCTCTACTCTAGTCAAAGACTCTATATATTTTAATGGTCTCAAGATGTTTAATCATTTACCTGACCATATTAAAATTTTAGAGGATAGCTGTGTATTTCGAAAATCAGTAAAAGACTTATTATGTGGTAGACCCTATTATAGTTTAGAAGAGTTCTATAAGGACCGCTTTCTCTAATTTGTTTTATCAACTGTATTTTTTATTACACAAAGTATGGTATACCGCATTTGAACATTTTAAACTTTTTTAGTATTTTTTATTGTATGATATCTTTAATCAATTTTATATGTGTTTGGGTATTTTAACATTATTTGTAACTTTTGAGGGTACGCCACGAATTATCTGCAGGAAAATAATAATATATATTTTTATTGTAAGTTTCCTGACGATAGGAAAAAATCATTACGCGACCGGTTCTGCTTTAATAGTCACAGCCTCACCCCTTTGCTGTCAATTCCAAGAAAGTGGTGACTTACAGAAATTCCAGATATGTTGTGATCTCAAAACCGTGACCCTGAATTGTCACAATCCACTCATATAAGTCAGTGAAGGTGATAATTTTTATCAGAAAGATACTAATTTTATTGATAGCTGTTATCGACTAAAGTTTCTGTCTCGATGCCCTACATTTTAGTGCGCGGTAATCTAGCTGCCTACGGACAAAGATACCCTTGGCGAGTGCTAGTATCAGGCCTCAAAGCGGGAGATATAGAACAGTTAAACAGATTCGCTTCTGGAGGCTACTGCGACGATTGCACCATAGTGTATATGCAACACCCTTGCGTTATTCTAACCGCTTTGGAAGTATTGGGGTACAAAGTAGTAGCTTCGTCGTCGACCAGCGTGAAACAAGACTACAACGAGTACATGTGGACTATGCGAAAGGAGTTCTCAGAGCCAGAGCCCGTTATATCTCCTACAACAGAAACAATCGACCACAAGGTTACTCTTTCCGAAGAAGGGGTTTAAAATATGGAAATCCCGGCTAGTTTGCTTGTGTCAAGCGGTACGTACGCCTATGTGGCAGTAAAAGCCTCTCTCCACTCTGCCGACAGTGCCGTTTTTGGTCTCAGTGATGTGGAAATCAAGGCGTTAGTGAAGAGATTTCCCAACTCTAAGAAAGAAGTTATAAATGGAGTTTTGCTGAAAGCCCCTCCTATTGAGGTCGTCAATGCTCTCAGTCAGCTAGGTTATCGTGTTGTGGCCACTACTGGAGAAGCAGAGGTTGTTTGGACCATGCAGCGAGATATCTAAGAGTGAATCTGAAAATTCGGTGATGTTCATGAAGATAAAATTATTTAGTCAGTAGTGCTACTGGATGATTCATTTTATTATCATGCTGAGAAAAAATCTAAATTTTATATTTTCTATTTTTTATTCTCATTTAGAGATATTGATTTTATCTTGAGTAGTATGGGAAACAGAGGATACTTAACACAGAATTCAGTTTTCTATTATAAGATTTTTCAAATTATCATAATTTCGTGAATATTACTATTCCATTTTCCTTAACATTGTTAATCATACTTAGCATTGAAAATTGGGAATTGTTGAGTTGAATTGTTGTGAATTAACTGGTTCAAGTTTTTCCTAACTTAAAGATATTCAACCCAGCATTCGAAGATACATGACCTGACTAATAAAACTGCATAAAAATATTTGACCACAAGTCAAAAAAGCCCTTAATTCTTTGAATAGAAATAGAAATAGTTTTATTCATCACTAAAATTTTCACACATACATAATTACAAGACTAAATACGTGAGAAAACTTACTGGACTAGTCAAAAGTAAAATGCTAAAAGCAAAACAAAAATGTTTGATCTTGAACAAACTTTAAAGAGAAGACTACATGTATAAAATAAACTAAATCATTTATCTAAGCACTAAAAGCAAGAAATTCATCCATACTGTAGAAGCAGTTATCCAACAAGAAATCATATAGTTCATTCCTCATTACAGTTATACTTTTATTGATCCCTATAAAAGTTGTTATTTTATTGAAACATTTAATACCCAAGTATTTTGGGGAATTTTGACTCACACTCAAGCGAGAATGTATAAGATAAAGAAACAACTCTGAAATTTATAAATAAATGACTTAGAAACTCATCAGTATTCAGCATTAAATGGTAAAGTTAACACAAACTGAAGTAATTCAACTGGAAATTTGGGTTGAGTTAGTACACGGTAGTCAAAACTTTGATTTGATTTTTTTTCATAGAAAATGTGGGGGGGTTTAATACTTTGTTCAACGTCTATTTCAGAACCTGATTTATTTAGGGCAAATTTGATAGTAAGATTTTTTTTATTGAATCTGCACTAATCCTACAGAACTCTGTACATTTTTAAAGTGAAGATATCCGACAAACACCCAGTCATATACTTTAAGTAGAGTTTTTTGACGTTCTTCTGAGGATTGATGAATTGCTTAGAATCTTTTTTACCGCCTTTAGACCTCATGTCATTCTTCTCTTCATCATTCTGAAGCATCTGCAAGAAAAAAATATTGGTTTGGGAGGTACATCTTTGGGTCAAGTGTCTCTACTATTGAGACTAGTTCAAGTATCATCATGTTATGTATTTTCATTAAAACTATATCAGCAATATCACTGAAACTGTTTAATCTCACAACATATGAAATTTATGCCTTATAAATATGCCAAATGACTTGAGAAATCTCTTATCTCTACATTACCAATATGGTTCACCAAATGTTTATACAAACTAAAGTTCACTTCTTGCTCTTAAATTTCCATAAACATGTCTAAACTTGAACTAACAATTAGGAAGTGTTCGGAATTTTGTAATCTAAAATGGTTTCAACAGGCTAGAAATGTATGAAAGAACAACAGATTTGAACGGAAGAATTCGGTTGAGTTAGTTGAAATCAAAGGTGATGTCAAAAAAAGGATAATAATCAACAGCAAAATACATAAGTATGCTAATTTGTGGAGAAAACATTTCATTTTGACTTGCAATTAAAATGAAGTGATAAAGGACAGCCTCACAAAAACCAAGCAGCCGAATGTGGACTGATGTCGGATGTGAATGTTTTTTCCTCCAGATCATCAAGTGAGCAGGGATTATACATTGTTGTCTTGAAAAAAGTATCTTTATTTGTTAAATATCCTCAGTTTCCCTTTCGTACCTTGGAACAATATTTACGATTATTTTTGATAAGAGCAAATTGAGCCACTGCATTGAACAGACTGAATATTTAAACTATTTTTGGAATTGCAAATATTTCCCTTTGTATTTTTGCAAGAATTGTGATAACTTCATTAAATAAATTTAGGATGGGTAAGTTTTAAAAATTCTGAAACATTAGATAATTAAGAGAATATTTTTAGGGGTAATTGTCTCCTCTATTTCTCAATACAATATGTAAAATTATATTGTTAACTACTTGTTTGGGACTCAACAAATATTCAATAGAAGTATGAATACTTAGTTGTTAGAAATTTTCAAAAGTGCCCTACCTCGAATTCAAACTGATCTGGGAACTATTTTTGACATGTATGTTTCTTTAAAATATTTTTCGACTACATCGAGACAGACCAAACAGAAACTGAGAAGGTGAGGTTATGAATATGAATACAGCATGAAAATTAAGAACACTCATGAAATTTAAACACATGGATGACTTGAATGAAATTTGAATAATTGTTTCAAATTTTTAAAACCACTTTGTACAGTTTTATGAAAGACATGTCCTCAACCTTTCAGTTCCTGAAGAAGAGCCAAAAAAGTCTCGAAAGCTTGAACAGTGAAAATAGTTCTCATTTTTTTTTGGCTCTGACCCCTGTACCTGATTCAACCTTACGCTGTTTCTATACTTAGCCAGTCGAGCTAACCTCTCCGCTCTATGTATATAGGGGTGATTGTCAAAACAGTTACATATTTTTCGATGAAAAATTACAGATCAGAAAAATATTTAGTGCCCTCTAGATCATAAAAAAGAATGTATGCCCCTGTACTCGCAAGGGATTCTGTCAAAATAGAACAAACAAGAGAATCGTTGTATTGGTTCCACGTATCAGCTTATGGGTGTCGGCAAAATGTCTAATAATTATCACTATGAATAGTGCCTCTGTGATTCGAGAATGTGTAAAGATTATAACTGTTAACATTCAATTTGCCTATGAATCTTCCTTTTGGAGAAAACTTTTTTAGATGTATCACTAAAATTCGGGGAAATTCATGAATTGGCAGTTTTTTCGTGCATTTTCTTCTATCTTTGCACTTCGAACATGCAGGCTTTTCTTGACACTGTTCAGTTCCTCTTCTTGTGAAAGAATTCAAGCATTGTGATAATTTCAACTGGCCAGTTCTCTGTGGATTTGGAAGGGACATCCCAAAATGAATCAAGCGTGACTGATTGGTGCCCACACTTCAATGTTGATTTCAACTGATCAAAAGAAATCATTCACAATTTTGGAATTATCTATCATTGAAAGTGGGCTTTTTGTTATCCTTCAGTACTCTGCCAGTTTCTGTCCAAATCGATTTAGTCTTCACAGTAATTCTATTAACATCCTCTGGTAACCCTTTCAATAAATATTGGAGGAACTCGTGTTGGTCCTAACTCATGAATCGGGGGGTAAATCTTTAGATTTGTCTCTTTGTGAAGACTGCGTTCATCACATTTTTCTGATAGAGCTCTTCTGACCAAAGTTCTTTGATCACTTCTGCAAAAGCGTTGATCAAAGCACCCTTCATACTAGAATATATTAGTGTTGATATCTAAGGGTTTTGACTGAACTTTGCACTACTGGTCTGATGTTTTCAATACTGTTGGTGCTGCTCTCCAATTCTGAGTAATCTGACGCAGTGATTCCCCTTGTCACTGGAATATGGAAATATAGCGGATCTTATGTCTTCTGGAGCAGTTGAACAATTCTACTTGTGATCAGTGCTTGTGAAAATTGGCTTGATAAATTCTGTCATAGGTTGAGAAAGAGCAATTAATAATGATTTATCCTTATAAAAATTGAACTTTGTCTTTTGTTCCCAACTCATCCAGATTTGTGTCCATACTTTTCATCAACTGTTGAACCTATCAGCTGTAAACAATAAAGAAATTTGTTATTAAATGATGTATCTTGTCACTGCTATCATCTTTACATAAATTACTTTTATAGTGACCGAGTAGTTTTCTGTATTATGCAAACTTATGAAAAATGATCTAATGTGAATTGGTATCTGATGAGGATTAAGTTTTTTACATAAATAAACTGCTGGTAAAGATTGAAATTATTTCCTGAATTCTCTTAAATTTTTTGAGAAATCTTTTCATATTTTCACCATGCAAGTGTTGCAGATGGGTGTGTCCAAAATTTGTTATTTTGTTTATCTGTTTTTCATTTTTTATCAAGATCATTTCAACTATTTTGACAATCCCTCATGTGTATCTGGACAGATTAATCCATGCATATAACTGTCATTTTTTTGTCATTTTGGATGTAGTTGATAGCGAAATTATCTCTAGAAAATTGTGCAATTTTACCATAACAAACTTAATTCCTTATTCGTCTCATGGTAGGTATAGGAATTATCATATCCTTTCGCAAACATGTCATGTGAGTGCAACTGTAAGTGCTCCCACCCGGTGGCTACTCAGTCTCTGGACGAAATGGAATTCGAAAGAGGCATTTGGTATGCAGCTCAGTATGGGGATTTGGAAAGAGTGATCAAATTATTAAGGAACTGCGGTGATCCAGACAGGAGAGATTCTTCAGGATACACTGCTCTTCATTACGCTTCAAGAAATGGTCATTTGACAGTATGTCAGTTTTTGATCGAACGAGGGGCTGATGTCAACGCAACGACCAGAGGAGGGGCAACCTCTTTATGCAGAGCAGCTTCGGCAGGTAAACAGTAACTTGAATTGCAGCTTTGTAAAATTATGAATAATGAATGAATGTTGTTATATAAAAATGAATATTTCAAAATCAAATTTCAAAAACATTCACCTCTGCCTACGTTCCTACATAGTAGGATCTGGTATATATCACGAGATGGGGCTGTTACCGTTTGGGTCGGATCTTTCCTGCATTGACGAGGGGTACTACCCCGAAACTGATCTGTAGGTGATCCACTTGATTAATTTCAGCTGCTTGATGAATAAGAAGCATCTGCAAGACTAACTACTTAAAGGTATCTTGCACACATGTATGTTGAATATATTTCAATGTTTATCGTGGTATTAGTCAAGGAAGTAGTTGTTTCCGTCAGGTATATACCAGATCCCACTGTAGGATTGTGAGAGATGAATGTTTCATACTTTCATAAAAAAATTCACGATCAACGTAAATACTTTCATAAGCCAAAATAAAATCTAGATCCTCAAAATTCAACTGTGTTCATGGTGGGTTCAGATATTACAGTTTGCTTAGCCAATTTCTCATATGAATTTCTTGTAGGCGCTCACTTTTATCTTTGCTATTGTGAATGATGAGAAGTTTTGCATCACACCGCTGCCTGAGGTTTGAGGTCATTACAGATGTTTTCATATTAATCTAGCAGATTTTTATTATGCCACAAAAGTGTGTTTATCATCTGTAAGAGTAGTAAAGCTACCAAAAATACAGTAGTCGGGCCAGGTGGGTCTTTGTTATGGATTCATGTATGAATTGGTTTAAAAAAATATACTTTGTGGTATACCACAAGGCTCTGTACTTGGACCCACTCGTTTCCTGTTATAGATTAATGACCTGGCATACTTGAATACATTTGGAAAATGTATACCAACATACTGACTTTTCATGGTAATTCTGACTCTTCATTTTTTTTGGGTAATTAAGAAATCATACAAATACAATCAAAAATCCTGGATCTGAATATAAAGATCTGAAATTTGACAACCATATAGAATAACTATGCAAAAAACTATGTTAAATACAATATTTGAAACCCTATTTACCCCCTTGAGGGTGGAAATTCCAGATTCCCTTTCTTGATGTTTATTTACGCTGTACAAAGAACCTACCTGCATATTTCAAGATTCTAGGTTCACTAGCTTCGGACATACCTTAATATAAGAACGAGCAACAACTAGTGACTTATATTTTTACTTTGAAAATACAGGTACTAAAAAAAAGTGCCAACTGCGCACAAAAACTTTGTAAATGGTAGCCAATGTGTTATTCTGATGTATAAGCTATAGTTATGTAAAGTTTCATCTAAATCCGTTCAGTCGTTTAGGTGTGAAAGAGCCACAAATATACATACACACATCATCACAAAATTTATAATTTATATTATTATAGATTTTGTGACTTGATTAAAAATTAACATTTCCTGAACTCAATTCAAGATTATTTTATGAATAAATAAAAGTGATTTAGTTATTAATAGCACACCCTTTTACTTTTTCAATTTTCAGTTGAAGAAAAAAAATAATAACTGTTAATAAAACTGTGAAATAGTATTGTATTTATTTTTAGGAAAACGAGATATTGTGAAATACTTATTGTCCAAGAAAGCGGACCCCTTCATTCAAGACTCTGATGGTAAAACGGCTCTCCATCGAGCAGCTGAAAATGGCCATTTGGAAATATGTGAGGATCTCTTGACAGCTGCCCCACTTCTCAAAGAAGTGTCTGATAACAAAGGCAATAAAGTTAGAGACCTGAATTGAAAATTCAATAATTTGATATCAAATATTGACTCATTTACCCTTTATTTCAATTGAGAAATTGTACTGTTATATACCTTTTTGAATGTCTTGCACTTCGTATATATTAAATGCAATAATACTTATCTACGGTTGTGATTTCCTTTTAGTTATCTATGGATGGGTGAACCCAAATGTGGGGCTGTAAAAAATTATTCAACTATGACATATGGTCACTTTCAAAGTAAGGGACGTTTTATATTTAATGACTAAGTCGCGTTCATTTTTGATAAGCAGGGTATGGTTATAACACGCTTTTTGAGCTTTGGTTTCGTCCGTCTTCCAGTAAAAAAGGAAGTTATTATTCGTCGGTCAATGTTGAAGTTTATTTTGCAACAGTATGCCGTGATTATCCTAGTTTATCTTGGTTAAGCATGGTTTGAGTTTTCAACCCTTCCCATAAATTATGTCTCCATAAGATGATGCCAATTTCAATATACTGGAACATTCATTTTTAGGTTTAAGCAAACCGCAGACACGTATTTCCGGTTATTGGCTTTGGGTGTGTGTATGTTCTTGCCGTTGCCTCTCATGTGAAACCTACAATTTTGTAGGTATGTGTGGCAGATACCCGACGGAAAAAAGAACAGCTAACCAGGCTAATGAAGCGCAAAAAGCTGAAGTGGAACTGGCAGGCACCTGTGCAACATCTTTCAACAAAAATAATATTCACGTATTTTGTAGAGATATTTTCCTTGGTTCACTTTTTTGCTAGAAAAGACAAAAATCTTTCTTTTTTGGGTAGATTTGTACTAAATAAAACGCACCTAGTAAAACTTCTATAAACTTCTCTTTCTATATATTTTAAAGCTTTCATCTCTCTTCCAGACAGTTTACACTTTTCAGTTAGTTTTTTGGTAACTACAAAATACAAAATTCAATTATGTAAATCAAAACAAATTAATACAGTCATTTGAATACATATATTCAAATAACCTCCTAGAAAATGTGACTCAATAACTTGCTGTAAGTGTATTTGGATAAATACAAACAATAATTACATTTTTGGGTTTTTGGAATCGTTCTCTGAATGTTCAAGAACAATCAATTATTGGAAAAAACTCGAAATTTGTACATGACTTACTTTTCATCATCCTCACAACTGAACAAATAAAAGGATAGAATAGAAAAGCAAACTTTCAATTCATCCTGATGAATTACTGGTGAAAACCCATTTTTTTTGTCAAAGAAAAAAATCACCTAGTCATCTATACCTTGTATTTTGTTTTTCATATCAGAAAGTAAAGCCAAAGTTGAATACAACTGGTAATGTCTGTTTTTCTGTAAACCAGCTGTCGTCACACAAGGTCTTATCTTTTTACCGCCGGTCCCAACCGTTTTTTATGTTGGTACACTAGTTTCGAACAGTTGTTCACAGTTTCAGCTGTTTAGTTTGTTGGTGACAGGCATGAAAGTAAGTAGTGTTTAGGGTTCTCGACGATTTTCTTCTGGCGAAAAAAATGGATTGAAGAATTTACATGAAATGTTGTGTGGGAAGCGCTTTGAAAACCGAAACTATCTACAAAATATATATTTAAAAAAAAATTTCAGGTACTAGCCGAAGCTCCATCAATAATACATTCTTGGACAACAATCCAACAAGTGTCCAAGCTTGATACCAGATACTAATTTTGAATAGTTGTAGTATCTGAATATCGAAGTTGTTAGTTCTTAAACAGTTCTACAAAACCCAAAAGTGTAACAGTAATATCTGAAGTCCAAATACACATGATAAAGCTCATAATTTGGCGATAACATAAAACAATATCATCATATCGATTAACATAAACATTTATATTGTTACAAATCTGGCTTATAACTTTTTTTTTAACTGTCTCAGTTGTAATTATAATTGGAACAAACTCAATTATAATTGGTCTTGAATGTTATCTAGAAATTTCCAAACACTTCATACTTTCCTACCTAGATCTCGAAATAAATCATATAGTGAGGTTTATTTAATTTAAACAGTTATTGATTTCATAGATTTCTGAAGCGAAACTCACTATTAATTGTGAAACGTGCAGAAGGGCGTTGTTGACTAGTTCCGACGGCTGCTAACGAAATTTTTGGAACATTTCGTCGATTTCCTTACAATAGGACTCTGCTGTGATGGTTTGGCCCTGATGCAAAAAGTTATTAAACCACATCAACCGCTGACCATCATACACTTACCATGATCTTTTTTGGTGGGTTTATGCCTTTGAGAAGTAGAGGATCCACTTTTCATGACACGTAACGATCCGATTTAAAAAAGGGACTTTTTGGATGCGCAACAGCAAAGAAGAACAGATCTTGAAACGGGAAAATTTCTGTTGTTCGTTTAAATCGGGGGACACCCCTCATCAGTGCCCAACCATTGTTCTGAACGTCTCATGTTGGAGTAGAAGATCCTCTTTTCATGACAAGTGATGATCTGATCCAAAAAAGGACTTTTTGGATGCGCAAAAGCAAAGAACAGACCTCGAACTGGGACAATTTCTGTTGATCGTTTGAATCGGGGACACCCACTTTTAGGGTTTTTTGACCTTTCCAATACGTTTAAAACCATCAAAAACCACATGCGAGTTTCCACCAGGGTCCTCAGATCCTCGTCCTTGATTACTGTAGGTCGACCAGTTCAGAGCTTATCTTTGAGACTGCAATCTCCGGAATGAAATTCAGCAAACCAACGATGAACAGTTCGTTCAACTATCATTGCCAAATGCCTGATTCATTTTATAGGCTGCTTCGACGGCGCTTAGGTTCAATTTGAATTCGTTTAACGACACCATATAAGCTGAAGAGGCAAAAAATTAACATTTAGTTATCTCCTGATGTTTACTTCATTACCGAAACATGCGTCGAGAAACCGCTCTACCAACTACCAAGTTGAGACTTAAGGATTAACGAGGTCTTACCATTTGATTTGCATACTAGGGCAGAGATCGAACCCATATTATATACCAATTAAACATAACGACATTTCACATCCTTTCTTACAGTAAAAACCTTTTTTTTTATAAAGCTATCTTGACTGAAGAAAATGTGTACCACTTTAATCAAAAATCTCAGATACGTAACAATATAAACATCCTGTTGGATACAAAACAAAAACTCCTAATACTGAATGACTAGAATTCAAATAAAACGGGAATTCCCCCGAGATCATAAACGCGTCTACAATACTGTGTCAAAGTTTGTTTCCAGGTTTGTTAGCCTTGGTCCTCGAATTTTCATGCCTGACATTCCGTCTACAACTGTGATATACATTATCAAAGGCATTGAGGCAACAGATTCTGCGCCCTAGTTGTTCTCACAGAAATGAAAAAAAAAATTACAAAAAAGATACATGTAGAAGGACAATCAACCTGATTCCCGAATGATGTAATATATGCTATGAGAAAGACTAGAGCACTGCGACAGTTACCTCATCACCTTTAATAATGTCTACCGCAGTTTTTACCGAAACTTCAGGCATAAAAACCTGTAAACTCTCGGCCAATAAACCCAGAAAATAGTTTCGACCATGAAAGTTTACATTCTTTGCTTCTACAGTATCTCTAACGTCAAATATCTAAGTAAAATCGGAGGTAAAGGCAGTGTCGAAATTCGCTCGAGTAATTCTTTGGTCCCGATTCGCTTCCGAATGCTGATCCTACACAGCTCACGCAAGTTCAAAGGATTCGTCTTGACATGAACTAGAAAATCACAGGTGGGGTCAGAAGACCGACTACGTAATGCTCGCGGGTCCCAGATCATTTCCGACATCCTGAAACCGCTATAAACTATTATCCTGACTAGATCCAGGTTTCCGTGACGTTTCGCTAGACTGAGGTTGTCAACGTAGGCACGTTCGTCTCTAACATTGACGTCTGCTCCATGCTGTATCAGAGCTACAGCTGCACTCCGGTTCTCCAGAATGATGGAGTAAAACAGGACATTTCCCTGGTAGCTGGGAGCGTTCATGTCGGCTCCTTTGCTTACCAGGAGTTCTATCAGCTGCTGGACGCTCCTCGCTTCGCGAACATCTTGGACACAGATGTGGAGGGCTGTTTTGCCATCGATGAGGCTGGCCGCATTGACGTCTGCACCGCATGAGAGAAGGTATCTGGATGAAAGAATGATATTAGAAGAATTTGCAACAGGTTCCATTTTTTAGAAAATTACTTCAGAGGACGGGAGAAAAAGTAGTAACATAGAAGGACGTGAGAATATTGAACTATTATGATGAAGGAAATTGAAATGGAAAAAATCCAGGAATCAAAGGATAGAAAGGATATGTGAACATAGAAATATAAAATAATCACATCATTCAAAATAATGAATTTCTGAATATCAGTACTTCACAAGATATTCAGTTATTTTAATTGGGAGTAACAAACGAATAATTAAGTGCACATTTTGTCTCATAAATCACTCTCGACTAACTTTCTTTGAAAAAATAACCTTGTTCTGTGGAATCGAATAGATCAATTTTAAGGCATTCATATTTCAATTTGTTACACTTTGGGAGTCCAAATCCGGGGTCCACAAGCATAACAAGACTAGCCCCCTCGTTACTCAGGCTATTTACACCATGGTAGAAGATGTGGACTAGTGAAGATTTTATTTCTGTGTAGCCTCAGTAACAGAATTTTAAAAGAAAAAGCGGCATCTCTCATTGACAGCAGACTGAATCCTTGAATATCATTGATAAAATAGATGATAGGTTGCAAAGCCAAGCTTCGATATCAACTGTGAAAGCTGCAGTGAAAGATAGAGAGCGAATCTCGTTCAGTGGTCAATGTGAAAGCTTGGATTTGAAATGGAGCATATTGGAAAGCCTCAACCATCATTGATAATCATGTATGGAGTTTTTTGTCAATGCCACAGACAAGGTATTGGATCACAAATGTTTGGTTTGTGGGCTCTTGTTTCGGATAGGATTTTTGTTCGAACTATACAATTTAATCAGTCAAGAAATCTATCTCGTCTGTGGACACAATTTGTGGAAAAACTTGAAAATATTTCAAATTCTGACAAATCATGAATAAAAAAAACATTATATTAGGTTTTAAGCTGTCTTGAGCCAGGGTTCTTACCCCACTTATATAGATCTGCATCCACTAAACAATATAACCAAAAAAAAATCTTGGGCAAGAGAGGTTTCTCAAACAACTGATTCAGAATTCCCTGAATAATTTTACATTCTTCTTACAACTTATTCATTATTATTTATCAATCCATGAGTACCTCAACAATATCTCATTGTACATTTCTCTGTGACTGTTTTGTCTACTATTGATTTCTTTATACTACTCTGCTTCTGTTCTCTATTACTTTGATTTTTTTAACATCAATTGTTAGTCAACAAAATATGTATCAAATCAAAAAGATAAAAGGTTCCATACTTGAGAACCATTATTTGAAAGTTAACCTTTTCGAGGGCAAGATGATAAATATCTTCTACTCACCTAGCTATAGCCAAATTTTTTCTAGAACAAGACAACATGAGTGGTGTATGACCCTGATCGTCTCTTGCATTCAACATGGCTCCCCCTTCTAGGAGCATTTGTACCATTTCCAAATTATTGTTTGAAACTGCAGAATGAAGCAAATGATGGGAATGTATTATTCTGGTTCCTCCCTCTAACAGCACCTTGACCTAGACAAAAAATGTAAAGCATTGCTTCTTACGAATTCAAATTATGATACATACAAATATTATTCCTTTTATAGATAGTGTACATTTCTTACCAGAGGAGCATTATTTGCCCAAACTGCCAACCGTAATGATGTTACTGCACCTGGCTCCTCATGGTTTACTCTAGCACCTTTTTTTATCAGATATCTGACAGTTTCTGGGTTTCCATTACGAACAGCTAGTGTTAGTGGAGAATGTTCATCCAAATCTACTACATTAATATCAGCTCCTTGAAACAAATTCACTGTTGGATAAGTCAGTTTCTCATGAGATATATTAAGGGGCCGAAAATTCAGTGATAAATCTTCGGCTTCAGAAATTGTTTCAACATATCTTTGGCTTTTTGGAAAATCACATACTCTGATAGATGAACAAATTGTATTTATAAACCACAAATGCTACTGTTGCCTACTGAGATCGGTACATGACTAGATTTTTGGATGCTTTCAAGAGTCTGGAAATAAAGAGTGGCATGAAAAGTATGAACAGTGACAAAGGTCATGTTCCAACAGCTCAATGTATACCTTTCAATGAATCAAGATTGCGGAGGTACATTTCTATTATTGTTCTTCTTTATAGCTTTTTCTACATCTCTATTAATTAGCTCACTCCAATTTCATTTTCCATGTTAGTTGAGTTACATGACAAAATCTTCAAGCAGTTTAGACATCAATTTTTCTTCACTTTCTCTAAATACTTTTACTCCTCGAATCTCAAGAAGAGCACTATGAAATACTTTTAAAGCCAGCAACATTTCTTCTAGTTTCACAAATGAAAGTAATATGAGGTATTGACAATATATCAATTAAACTTCGTGAAAATCTGCCAAGAAAATACAATATGCATTTTACACACACTTATAATAATGAAGTATGCTTTACTATCTTACAAAACTGAGAAAGTTACTTAAACACTACATAAAAAATGAATAAAAATGCATTTGTACATGTTTCATGTGTCTAATATTGATACACATCTGAAGAAGTTATTGTATAGTTAAACACGTCTCTTTGTTTCGTAAACTGTTATGTGAAAATCTCCCGATAAAGTGAACGAAATACCTGCTTCAATCAAAATCCTCATAACACCAAGATAAGCCCCTCTTGCAGCAACATGAAGGGCACTTTGTCTATGCCTCCCTCCAACTGCATTGACAGTGGCTCCCTTCTTCAGCAACCACCTGACCATCTCACAATCTTCATTTGCGGCTGCCATGTGTAACGGGCTGAAGCAGCAAGCGTCATTTTGGTAAATGCTCAACTCTTTGCCGAAGATGGACATAAGATATTCGACCATGTCGATATTTCCTGAATTGACAGCATAGTGTAGAACACTTTGGCCATGTCGATCTAGTCGAGTAACGTCTCGATCTGGTGATTCAAGCATGATAGAGGTCCTGTTCAGTATATTGGCATACCATTTGTACATATTGTTCACATCTCCTTCAAGACTGTTATCATCTGTTGATGAAATATACAATACAAACTACTATTTTGATTGAAGATATTGATATAAATAATTTTTCCAAAAAAGTATCACATCAAAAGACATTCAATTTGGAGAAAAAAATACCACTTTGATTAAATTTTTTAGATTCCACAATGATCCAACACTTACGTGTTCAAATCATTTAGTAATTTCCAAAAGATTATCGAAACTTTTTTACTATTTAGGAGCCGTATGATTTGCCCATTATCTTCCAAGTCTTTAGAAAACACTGCAGCCTGATGGGCTCATTGCGTTTGTTATCGTTACTCAATACAGACTATGTCCAATAATTAATGTAATTGAAATTACATGCTGTAAAAATATTCGAGAATGATATACTTTAGTGTAATATTTTCAAAATTGCAATGCTTGACCAGTTTGTGGAACAGCACTCTATTATATTTTGATTACATTTCATGAAACAAAAGTTAATTTGTATTAATCTGCAAAAACTATTCAAACTGAGGGTTATTTTTGTGGTAAATTGATAATATACCTGGTGAAAAATGTGTTTCGCTAACTTCCATATCCCATTCAAGAGCTTCCATTCCATCAGGGGTGGGCCCATCTCCAAACTCGTTTTCTTCTATATCTCTACAAACTACAAAGTATCCAATATTTTTGAATGATTTCGGTGCTGCATTTTCAAGTTGTAAGTATTGTGGTTTGGAGATATTTTCGTTTTGAAAATCCAGATTCGAGGAGGGGCCATGGTGCTCTATTAATGCTTTCAATATTGATATATTTCCAGTTTGTGCAGCAGCCCCTAGGAGGGTCATGCCATTAGAGCAAATTTTGTTAATGTTGATACCTACAAAAAATGGGTAAAATTGGGAATGCATGAACGAGATAAGTTTAACCTCTGGATGGGCAACAGTTAATCAATTTCACATCTTTTTCATAAACAGCTTGCATAAGAAGCTCATTCGAGGCTTCCATTGCAAACGGCAACTTTTTCACTTCATTTGGCCACAATTGCATCCATATTTATTAAAATATCACTCTGTATTCAAATCATATTTAATAGGAGATGGCACAAGTATGACAAATGATACCAGTGGATCATTCCTATCAGCCATAGTCCTAACACAGTGTATCATCTACCTGTGCTCTAATTACATTTCAAATCAGCTGTAAATGGATAATTTATAAGATGAAAATCTACGAAGTTTCAGATCTTGACGTCTCTGTCACTGTTAAAAACAAATCATTATTCGCATATCACATATGTCTAAACAGACGGCCAACGGGAAAATACACTGACGTCTAGCGACCACATTAATATATCATAACATCATCTATAACCCTAATCCTCAGTATATCATTTTGTCAACACTGACAGAAAAGTAAGCTTTATAACTTATTACTAATGCATCATCCCACTTTCAAGGCTATGATTATAATAATAATGGCAATAATGAACGTCTTCATTCACGAATAACGAAAAGACTTTAAAATGTTAATCAATCTATAAATCAAAATAATCATATTTGTAAAGAAAAAAAAACAATAATTTGATAAGAGATAATCCAAAGAAAGAATGCCATTGTAACTTATCGATACATGACCTCATAAAGAAATTCATTAACTTTTTTCTTGAAGTTTATTAGTGAATAGTTCCTGAAATTTTACGGTGATGAATTGTACAATGAAGATGCATTATAAGAGAAACCATGACAACCAAAATGACTGACTGTACCTTGTAGAAATATTATTATCATGTTCCAGTCATTTCTGTTAGTTCCTTAGATATGATGAAGTACAGATTTTGTTTTTATTTTTTGTACAAAGTGAATAGATGTAGTTCACATAACGACTTATTTAGATTCAATTCATTTATAGACTTGAAATTTGGTGTGATGAGGTCCAACTTTCTCATTTCGACAGATATACATTAGTTCTGGATTCTTCAAAGTCTAATTTAAACCCCATTCACTAGTGCTGAACCATAAATGCATTCACTGTCTCTCGCACTCTCGCACAAAAGGAATTTTAATTCACGACTAAGAACGCATTTGTCAGGATACAGTTTTATGAAGATGCAGAATGCAGTTATGCGTATGCAAATGTGAAAGTGATGCTATAGCTTTCCCGGAAACCTGACTGAGATGGCAAAAATCATGTTTTTTTAATGAAGATGTAGATTTATTTTTTCATTAACATATCTAGTTCATGAAAATGTCGACAATATAATTATTGGTTCAACAATGGAATAATTCATTGTACCTCTGGAACAGATCGAACACATCTCCAAGCATCAGAATAAATAGTAGAGTTTAAAACAAAATTCAGGACGAATGTTATTTGATCTAAAAGAGGGAACTTACGTACATCATCACCATGTATACCTACATCTATTCATCACTTTGCCGAAGTGATGTATAGATTGTTAATCCTTGTCAACCACCAAATATTATGAAATTGAATTTTCAAAAGACGTTTCTGACATTTTTGTCAAAAATGAGATCAGCATTAGATGAAGTTGAAGAAAGACTAAAAAATGAATGCCCCGCAAAAAACGCCAATTTTCTGTCGAAGATAACATTTATGTGAGTAAAATCTATTGAATGATTGTTTTGTATAAACTGATTACGAATTTGACAAATAGGTATTCTCTTAAATTGTTTAATGTTGGAAGAAAAAGAGACCTAACCGAAGAAGATTTGACCAAGCCCCTAGATGAACATAAATCCGACATATTAGGAAAAAAAATAGCGATTTTATGGTCCAAAGAATATGAAAAGGCCTTGTCGCAGAAGAGAACTCCAAGTATGTCAAAAGTTATCGTTAAAGCTTTCTACGGAGATATTATATACTATGGGATCATTTTACTTGTTTTGGAAATTTTTGTTAGGTATGAATCAATTTCTTAAAAACTGGGTCTAATTGAAAGAATGCCATTTTTTTTGGAGGAAATAATATTTCCTGCAGTTTTTGGGGTAGTTTACTCTCCACAATTGGAAAAGTATAGGAAAGTATAATCCCTTTCCGTTCTCAAAACCCAAAACATTCACTTGTAAAAACACCTTGGACGGAGATACATATATTTACTTCGATCCGAGAGTCTACATGAATACCTACATAAGCATGTTTTCCGAAAATACTGTTTTTATTCATATTTTCAGTTTCAATCTTTTGCGTTGGCAATGTGGAGGTGAACTTCTCAGTTTGTTCTCTATCACGCATTAGCAAACTCTCTATTAAGTTAAATATCTGTTTAGTTTTCAGATTCTTGAAAATTATCTACCCCCAAAAACAGCAAGAAATAATAGAAAAGTATTCGACATTCAGATCTATTTCAGATTCTAATTTTCATAAGTGAAGCCAACTGAATCATTTTTATTTTTTTAGTAAAAACTAGTACCAATTTCGGCAAAAAAATTAAAAAACGATCTAATTTGGCACAAATTGATGAATCGAAAAAACTTTTTTTCATGATCTAGTGCTTGATTTTTCCTTTTGTGTCGGTGTTTTAATATAGCCACCTATAAATATATATATATTGTACAAATTATTTATGGTGCTACACATGTTTGGGTCGCATCCCACAATACCGGATGTTTTCATCGTATTGCTTCTCGCAAACGTCGTATACCTTCAAGATAATACTCCTTGACCGTACGACCATGTGGCAAGAACTCCTGAAGCACCACGCCACGCAATCGAAGAAACAGTGAGCAAAATCTTGATTTGATCGAACTTGGCGTGCTTTTTTTGGTCTTGGCTCTCCTGGGCTCTTCCATTGAGACTTTGGTTTCGATATCATAACGATATACCCATGATTTTTCACCTGTTATAACCGTTTCAAGCAAATCTGGATCGCCGTTGGCGCCATTCAACAATTTCAGAACTAACTTCGCTTCCACATACTTCATGTCCAAAATATCCGCATATGAGTTAACCGATATGCCGACATCCTCAGCCACTTCTTCAATAATGATTCTATGATTCTCCATGAAAATTTTCTTCACTTTCTCAACATTTTCATCGGTTGTTGATGTCCAGGGCGAGCGTCGTCTTTTCACTAATAATTATAAACAGTCTTATGAATTGCTTTATTGAATGTAATCCACTCTTTTTTGAATCAAATGAGATTTATTAAATTTTTTCATCGTTTATTATTTGAACTCGGATATTTCAACACGCTTTTTACAAAAAACTGTACAAAAAATATGGCTGATGCTGACGCATGCGTACAGGAAAAATTATGTTGAAAAAAGGCCTATTCTTACTTGATGAGACCTCGTTTGATATTTTTGTATCTTAGTTCAATTTATTTTTCATACTGCCAATCATACACCTCATGGTAACATAAACTGAATGATCAGTAAGAATATTATTGCTTTTCAGACTCCTACAACCAATTTTCATTGGACTCTTCATAAGATACTTCAATGCAGAGAACAGAAACAACACTGAACCGTGAGAACTAACGATTTTGATTTCTATAAAATTTATTGGTGTTTCTTTCCAGATATCGCTCTCCAATGTATTTTGTTAGAGTGTTCAAATTCTTCTCGCCAAACCAGGGCCCAATACAAAAAAGCGAAGCTTATTTTTTTGCGACGGGGATAATGCTTTGTAGTTGCATAGTTGTCATGGTTATGCATCCATATTTGTTGGCGGTTCAACATGTCGGAATGAAAATAAGAGTGGCTTGTTGCTCTCTCATATATAGAAAGGTACATTTTCTACTAGCTTTTATTCAACTTGTGAAGTTTTTAACTGGATTTTGAAATTATTGAGCTGAAACTTTACATACATGTTTAGTTCGGATGCATGATTAGCTAAGTGACGCTATTCTACATCCAACATGGTGGACCGTCTAAGATGGCGGAGTATGTTTTTCTTTACCTTCATCACATGAGTATCAGATGAAAATATTTGCTAAAAAGGATACGTGAAATAACAAGACATTACTCTGAATCAATTACAACCGATCGCCAAGGATAGCAGACTAGTTTTCATGCACCCATATGATATGGGTATCAGCTGAAACGTTTTGCTAAATCTGATATGCCCACTACTTAAAATGACGGACCAATTTATGAAAGAAAAGAATACGAAAAATGGCTTGACCTCACTTTGAATTCAATACTTTGGATCGTACAAGATGGCGGACAATTTTTTATGCAACTGCATTATATGATAATAATAATCGGCGAGCGGCCGACGAACTTGATTCAGCTTTCGACACTGAACCAGAGGTGATCATTACTCTGTCACCAAGTTGGAACACATTCAGCGAAAGGCCCACATAAAAGCCTCGGAGATCACTTCTTCGACTACCTAAGGATAAGCTGATGCATGGGGAATTCTTCAACAACATTGAAGACCTCGGCTTATCAAAAAAACTGGCCTTTGCTTTCCTTAGGTCGAAGGGGCTAAACTGAAACTGAGGGGTTCATCATGGCCTGCCAGGATGGTATCCTCAACACCTCATTTTACCGTAGTCCCGAGACTCCAAGTTCAGGGCCTGTCATGAGGTGCCTGAGACCCTTACACACTTGCTGTCCAGTATTTTTGGTCTCAGCCTATATGCATCGACATAACGCGGCACTCCGAGTGGTATATTACTATCTTCGGCACTGGCACTGAATAAGTTGTGGAACATGATAAGTGCCGACCTTATTAAAACCACTTATTCCCCACCCTTAGGCTGATACAAACGAACGAGATGTTAGGAATCACACGTTAAAAGGTAAGACCTCGTTAGTCTTTAGCTCGCACACGTTTCTTAACTTCTGAGAGTTGTCGCTCGTATGGGGGCGACAGCTGATTAACGGAAAAACAGATTTTATACAGATTTTTTTTAAACAGTCTTCATCTACCATCAAAGTGAGGCGATATTCTTCGTGGACCTTTGAGCTTCAACAACAACAATTTTCACTATTCATTTTCACTATTCATTTAGCTCAATTTTTTTGCCATTACTTTTGTATAAACTGATACTACCAAATATTTCGGTCCGATTTTTTTTAGTACCTATTTTCAATAACTTTAACCGTTTAATCAAATGTTCAAATGTTCTTCCATAGATTTCAAATCTGTTAACATAATTTCAGTCAGATAGAAGTCCGAACTTGTAACATTCACCAAGAAACATTGTCATCCACTTTCAAACTTTCTTTTAGAACGTCTTATTTTTTTATTAGCATTGTATCACAAGTAGGGTACAGCAAGCGCCAAACGTGCGGAGAGACCGCACAAATTCATTTTCAATGTAACCCCCCTTGCAGGATATACAAATGCTCTCTACAGAGACTTATCATTACTTGTCCTCCAATGCTGTTGGCATTTGGCATTGTCTGATTAATTTGTGTTGTTTTTGAAAAAATGTCGTCGCCTAACAAAAAACCAGTCATCAAGAGTATATCATTAATCTTTGTACATCACTTTAATGAACTGTAGGACTTCTATAATACTAAATGAAATATGAAAAGAAATTACAAAGAAGTCATGTTGCATTTGCTACCCTAATCAAAACTAATAATAGGTGCGACACTGGCCGGCAAGGGGCTTGTCGTAATACAATAGTAATTCAGTTGGTAGAGTCTATACCTACGCGATCGCTCGCCATCACGTTTGACGCTTGCTATAGGTTTTTTTTTCAAATCCTCGAATTATAATTGAGTATTTTTTGGAATATACAAATGCTCTCTACAGAGACTTATCATTACTTGTCCTCCAATGCTGTTGGCGTTTGGCATTGTCTGATTAATTTGTGTTGTTTTAGAAAAAATGTCGTATATCATTAATCTTTGTTCATTATTTTAATGAACTTCTATAATACTAAATGAAATATGAAAAGAAATTAGAATTCATGTTGCATTTGCTACCCTAATCAAAACTAATAATAGGTGCAACACTGGCGGGCAAGGGGCTTATCGTAATACAATAGTAATTCAGTTGGGAGAGTCTATACCTGCGCGATCGCTCGCCATCACGTTTGGCGCTTGCTATATGTTTTTTTTAAATCCTCGAATAATAATTGAGTATTTTTTGGTACCTTCCTATTCCAAAAACGATTTTAGTCATTTTTTGGTATAACTCTTTGTTTGCAATATGTAGCTGTAAGTTTTTATATTAACACCCTGTATTATATTATTGTTACTGAACAACATATTCAAGAAACAATTCGTGGTGGGATTTTCACCAAACAGTTTTACAAAAAGGTAACACGTATTTCGCTATACACTAGCTATATTAACACGCCTGAAAAAGCTGTTATATATCGAAACACGTGTTGCGTTTTGTAACAGTTTGGTGAAAATCTCAGAATAAAATGTTTCTTGAATACGTAATGGATTTTCATCAAGTACCGGCCGTTTTCATCACATAATGTGAATAATGTGTTTTTTTCAAGGCTTTAAGAATTCAACTGACGGCTTTGGGAGGTCGGACTGTTGGAAACGCTGTGAATTTGATGTCGAATGATGTTGTTAGATTTGATATGGCACCCATGTTCGTTCACTACCTCTGGATTGCACCACTGCAGCTTTTTGTTATACTTTACTTTATGTATAAGATAGTCGATATATCGTCAGTGATCGGGCTTCTAGCAATTTTTGTGTTCATACCACTACAAGGTATAGCATTTTGCATTTAAAATATAAAGAAGTACCTATGTAAATAACATTATTATTTCCAGTGGTCCTGGGCATAAGAACATCCGTTTTGAGAAAGCATGCTGGTGCTAGGACTGACGAAAGAGTAAGACAGATGAACGAAATCATAAAATCTATGCAAGTGATAAAGATGTACGCTTGGGAAAACGCTTTTGCCAAACTGATAGCGAATTTGAGGAAGTAAAAGAGTATAATTTTTCTAGAAACTGCAAAATTACTACCTTCATATATTTTCAGGAGTGAACTGAGTGTACTTACTCACACTTCCTTCATCAGAGGCACGATTATGTCATTCATAATGTTTACCACGAGATTGGGGATTTTTTTAACTGTTATGTCATATGTACTCAATGGAAGCCAAATAACAGCTGAGAAAGTATTTGTCATAACCTCATACTATCAGGTTTTAAGGCAAACCATGACTGTCTATTTTCCACAAGGTATCGCCACGGTGAGATATAATGATACGTTACATATTGTCAATAATAATCTGATATATTCACTAATTTCCTTTCCCGCACAAAAAAATTGAGTTTCATGCTCTCACGCTGTCTAAGGTTTTCTCTGACGATAAGATCATGATCTATAAAACTAATTGCCTTTATGAGTAATCTTAGTATTCTGTGCCTCAAATATCGTAATAGTTCATTGATTAGTTAAAACTTTTGGTCTGCTCCTGCAGCCGAAACGAAGCCATTTCTATTGGTAGAAGCGACGGGCTCGACAGAAGACTCTAATCCCGAATATCAAGGATAAATCTAGGATTCCCGAAGCGGTCCGTTGCAAAGCCAATAATCTACCGTTGAACGAGATTCGTCCTCTCTTTCCCTGCAAGCACACTCGAATATACTCGTGACCCAACACCAGGCAGCGCTGTTTCGACCCACAAAGTCGTATCCGTGGTGTTAGGCTGAACCGCTGAAACGTCCTAGTAAAAACTTGCCTTCTACGAAGATGTCAACGAAATCGATAGAAGTCACAATCCCCGAATATCAAGGATAAAACACATCTCAAGAAGCAGCCGCCAAACTAGATTCGTCTGGTCTTTCACTGAAAGGCAACTCGATGAACTTGTGATCCAACACCGGCCAGCGCTGTTTCGACAAGTCAAGTTCACCTGGGAAGCCTCGTTATATCCTTGATATTCGGAGTTTAAGTCTTCTATCGATTCCATAGATGGCGTCGTTGTAGGAGAAGTTGTTTTCGTCCTTACTTGCAGGCTTTTTAGGACAGTTAGAGCGCCTGTTCACGAGCCATATTTTGCGGTCGGATCAACAACACAATTGCAGTCGCGTTCCAGCGAACTCAAGCCGTCCATAAGAAATACTGTACTACACGTATACGGACGTTCACAAAAGTCAAAACGGGCATCCGGCCGTACACGGACCACATATTTGCAGTTGAGGCAACCACAACATTGTGGCCACGTTGACTGCACTTCGTGGTTGACCCAACCACATTTTTGTGGTCGACTTGCGGTCATATAAACCGCACTTGTAGTTGAGGCAACTGACATCAAAAGTTGAATGCTGTGAGACCAATATGTACGCGGTTGGGTACGACTGCAAGTTTGTGGTTAGTGTACGGCGGATGCCGCGATGACATCTCGGCGGAGATCAGCAGCAAATTGACTGCAGGAGCCCGTTTTGACTTTTGTGAACGCCCGTGTACGTATAGTACAGTATTTCTTATGGGCGGCTTGAGTTCGCTGGAACGCGACTGCAATTGTGTGGTCGATCCGACCACAAAATGTGGCTCGTGTACGGGCGTAGTGGTTCAGTCTTGAACTGCTGATGAGACCTCGGCGGCTCGGAACAGCGCTGTCTGACGTTGGGCCACAAGTTCATTAAGATTCTATTGGCTTCTATTCAACGGATATCGACATGACAACTAGGATTTCAAAAAGAACTCATAGAGTCTCATAAAGTCTGGAATACCGAGAATAATACAATGTAACTATTTTTATGATTATAGACCATCACATCAATGGAACTTGGAGTACCAAACATTTTTTCTGCTACTGAAGTAACTCCGGCCACGAAAGCCTGTGTTCTCATATCATCATATCTGATTCCCGTCGATCGTAAATGTCAGGGTGGACAATCTACCGGTGGGACTCTTGAGACGATAAGAGATTTTAATTTCAAAACGAACATTGAAGAATTCATAAGCAGAATATTGTTAGGTTTCTCCCCGTGGGTTTACCAATAATTGACTACACTGTATAACGATCAAACCTAACTTTATTTCACTATCAATAAAACAAAACACTTCAACTACAACCACAGATTAAATAATAATCTGTGCTACAACTTCAACTTTTATTCGAATGTCTATCGCACTGCACTGCACTGTCCGCGAAACTTGACTGTCCCGATATACGAGTAATCGTATATCGGGACAGTCAAGTCCCTAACAGAACACCCATTTCAAATGGGTGTTCTGTTAGGGCAACATTCCGCGTGCTTCGCTCATTTTACGATCGCCATAATCGTCCTGCCGAGATCTGCCGAGAACATCGCTGCTGTCTATGAGAGTGTAGGATATTTCGCGACGCTCACAATAACTCGGCCTTTCACAGACCACATCTTGGCGAATTTTACGTGTTGACTGAGGCCTGCACCCAAACAAAATTCAATCGACTCAGGAATTGAAGGTAAATGATCTTATACAACGACGTGTGTACGCTGAATTGGCTCTGGAGCAGTTAGCAACTGACCCTTATTTTTATTTAAATGGGTTCCAAAAGCGTCCAATGCATCCCGAAAAAATTACTGTTTGGTGAGGATTTTGGACTGGTGGAGTCATCAGTTCATACTTCTTTAAGAAGCGAGCACGGCGAGCACTACAGGTCGATGGTATTATCAAATTCTTTTGACCTGAATTGGATAATCTAGACGGTGCCACGTGCCACACAGCTCATGCCAAATTGTTAATTCTGCACAAGCGATTTAAGGGCATGTCATCTCACGTAGAAGTGCACTTGTGGGAAGATATACATCGGACTTGTCTGTTTGGCCAAAAGGCCAAACAGTTTTCTATGGCGTACTGCTACATTAATGATTCAGCAACGTACTTTCAACCTACACAACGGATCAAAACAGTGATGTCTGATATTGGATTGCATCTTTTCCATAAAATCTTCAAAGGGATAGAAGGTGACTTCTTATTCGGCAATCGATAACGAACTTTTCAACATAACTTGTGTTACAAGTATGGATTTATAAAAATCTCTGTATGTTTTATCTTTTATCAGGGGTTTTTCTTTTATTTTGTGAAAAAAAGGTGGACCGAATAAAATTTTCATATTTTTCAAGGTGGCAGAGTCACTGGTGTCCATACGCCGCATTCAGAAATTTATGCTCACCGAAGAAACATCCATCGGAGATCCAACTCCTCTTGATCCTCTATGGCAGAACAAACCAAAAAAAGGGGGATTGAGACGTACTTCTTCGAACACAGAAGTAAATCTACCATTCATAGAACTTTCACACGGAATGGCTAAATACGGTGAAGATGTGTGTTTGGAGGATATCAACTTGGAGGCTTGGCCAGGTAAGTTAACGGCTGTGGTCGGACCTGTAGGTGCTGGAAAATCTTGCCTCCTAAACCTGATAACTGGAGAACTGCCGCTGTTCAGTGGAAGACTCCGTACGAACGGGGTTATATCTTACGCATCTCAAGAACCATGGCTATTCGCAGGTGAGTTACCATTTAGTCAGATTAATGCCTTCAGATACGTTTTCGTTGTCAGCAATTTCAGTGTTTGAAGTTCGGGTTGAGCCGCGTGTGAGATTTTATGTTTGAAAATGAAGCCATTTTTAGGAACTAGAAGATAAACTATAAGTATACTGAGGTCTAATTCTGCCCACTCTTCAGGATCACTTTATGAACTTGTCGCCGGGGTTTCGATCTATCTAGTCACCAGGTTTCGTCAGTGGTCTTCGCGAGAGTTCCAAGTGACTACTGAGGGTTGTTGGTGTTGTTGGGCTCTTGTCGGTTATTTATGGAATGGAATGGAATGATAATGGGGCAGAACGGTAGAGGGAGCGAGAGTGGGGTGGGTAGGGTAACGGGGTTGTGGCTTGGAGGAGGGTGGCGTGAATTGTTGGGAAACGTGGAAGACATTTGTTAAAAAATAAACCAAGAAAATAAAAATGATAACGTACTCGTGTGAAATTTTTTTGGTCAAACTTTCACTAAACATTTAACAAACGTTTTTCACTATACAACAAAAGTTTGGATGCGCCTTGCATTTCCGTATTGTACATAGCTATACAAACATCAGAACAATTGAAACAAAAACATATTCAATGTCAACACATAATCCGTTTATTTCGTTCCGAAGGTTCCGTGAGACAGAACATCCTTTTCGGCAGGGAATTCGAACTGCTCCGCTACAGGGATGTGATCAAAGCTTGTGCTCTGACTAGAGATTTCTCCTTGTTTCCTTTCGGTGATAGAACAATAGTTGGCGAAAGAGGCATATCACTCAGTGGCGGACAAAGAGCAAGGATCAACTTGGCCCGATGCGTTTACAAAAGAGCGGATATATATCTTCTGGATGATCCTCTGTCGGCGGTGGATATAAATGTTGGTCAACAACTTTTCGAAGGATGTATCAAAAAGTGAGAAACTTCATTATAATAGTGACAGAAATCAAATTCATGAAAACTGTATCGAGGAGAGATACATACGTACCAAAAATATATATTTCGAAATGAAATTTCGTCGGAATGTTGGGAGGGATGAATGTTTCGAAATATTTATTTTCTTGTAGTTATACTATGAATTTTATTCAAGACGCGTTTCATAAATCGATAAAATAATAAAGAGGCGAACGATATTATTTATTTCTAAGATGTTAAAAGAATCCACTTGTTTAGTTTTTGAATATCCGTATAAAACCAGCTGAGAGACATATATATGATATCTCCATAACCACAAGTCATGGAATACGTCTGAAAATTGCCAATTTTTTGCAACTGTACATAACAAATAATAGTGAAACTATAACAGATCCTTGAGGTACACCTGAGACATTTCGTGATCTGTTATCAAATAATAATCTGTGGGCGGCACCCACTCAAAATATTCAAGATTATCCTTAAAGCTATGAAGGAAAAGTGTGTTTGAGAAGAAATACTACTTCACTTCTTCAACTTCAGGTATCTTGAAGACAAAATTGTTATTCTGATCACCCACCAGCTTCAATATCTCAAGAGAGCTGATCGTATCATCATACTTAGTGACGGAATGATTCACGGCCAAGGAACATACAAAGAATTGTTGGGCACCTCGGATTTCAGCGATTTGCTCAGAGAAGCTTCAACTGCTATGCCAACAGAGGAAAAAGAAGTCGAGAAAGTACTGAGGGCCATATCTATAACGAGCACCGCTTTCAATAGCATGATCGATATCGAAGGCAGAAAGGTAAGCAATTACTATGAGGTGACATTATTTTGCCCGCAGGGGCAAATACACAATTATATAGTTCCTAGTTGTAACTTAGCATTCAATGGATTGGTGATGTGTATGTGAATGTTTCAAGTAGCTCACAGGCCCTGCACCTTGTGTCAGAAACCACTATACCCATCACGCGACTGCGGTAGACTGTAAAAGATACCAATCCTTCAGTCCATTCCGAGTCCATTTCACTACTCCAAATAAGTAGAGTAGGATTGGAGCCGCAAGCATATTCGTACCAACAACTTTCCTTTTCCCCGACAGTTTTGATGACCAGATCTGTCGGAGTTTGTGCTGATACTTGCCGCGGAGAAAGTTCTTCACTACTGTTACCTCTTATAAGTGGTGTTGTTTCACCCTGAGGTGAGTGTACGTCATTCAGATGGTTCATGATTCTTCAATCTACCAGCTGCTGTATTTCCTCTCCATAATTTCCGCAACGCCTTCTTTTGAGATGGACCGTTGCACACTTGTCTATCCCGAATTTCATGGCAATAGTGAGATGCAGAAAAGAAGGAGACTGAGGGAATCGCCCTGAAATACACCTCTTCTGAAAGTGATCCACACTCTTTAGACTCTAGCCTAATCACATGCAATGATAAAGCGAGTCTGCCAGAGTGGTATCAGTTGTTCAAGACGTCTAACTATTGTCCAGATACTACAATATCTGAGCAAATGTTAGGTGCGATCTTGGATGGAATGCCTTGCTGTAATCGATCCAGGCCATAGTTAGGTTACGCTTATACTGCATCGAGTCCTGTGTAAGAAATCTATCATGGAGCAGATTCTCTTTGCATCCAGTAACGCCTGTCTTCGATCCTTTTTACTCGAATATCCGTTCCAATACTCGGTCTACTGCGGTCAGTATTCATTTGTATAAGATGCTCGTAAACAACGTATAACACAAATTAAAGCGCATGTTTTCCGCCTGTACTTTTTAAAAATCGACAAATAGGTATCCTTTTTCGGGGATAAGAACGGTCCGCCCAAAGCAGTTCGGGATCAGCTGCCCTCCGTCCAGTCATGAACTGAAAACTCTGGTCAGATGGCGGTGGGTGCTTGATAGTTTTTTCCACCAATAAGTGGAGCAGCAAAGCTCTTGAATCCCAAAAGGGCTTTTCGAACGTCATCCGGAGTTATCGGGTCGTACAGTTCATTGAGCTCAGGCTGTCGAAGCATTCTACTAGAAGCTTCGGGATGCACTACAGCTGGAGTGTTTGAGTTGAGTGGCTGTACGTGTTCATAAATGTTCTTCCAGAAGGATTCAACCTGATCAGTGGTCAGCAGTGCTGTTTGGTGGTCAGCAGTACGCCTTGCCGCACAGCGTACGTGAAAGATCTGTTGGCTGTTCTGTAATCCAACATTGGATACGAAACGCGTGTTGTTTCACCAATTTGATCTTAGCCTCCATTTTGTGTACTCGTCCTTCAATCATCCGAATTGCTAGGTCGGAATTCCGTTCCTCAGATCCGGAAAGCGACTGAACGGCTGTGTACACAGTGGTATTAATTTGCCAGTCTCTTCTGTAAGAACATCACGAACTTCCGCCTAACTTGGTGGAGCGCCCTGCAGGTTATGATTGCCTCCACTGGCGGCATGATGCGAGTTTTCTCTCGTAGCAACGCAGGAGGCTCATGCGTTCATTCAAAGCGTCCAGTGGTATTGCGTACTTTGTCTTATGATGACAAATCCTCGTTATAGGCCTCACCACCTTGCCTTTGACTATCAGTTCGAGAGATTCGGTTGTGGATGACCTCTTCCTCGATTATTTAGAACCATGTATGGGTGTATCTAGTGGTTCGTCCAATAGACCCACCGCTGACGTTGGAGGGGGAGACAAGTTTTCACAGCCGGGTGCGCCTGGGCTGATGATCTGGTTTTGCACCATTTGCACCGGTAGCGCAACTCACCAAAGGCCTAAAATATTGGATGGCCATCCCTGCTTATATTGTATATTATAATTGTTTTCATTACTAATTACCAAAATGATTTTTTTCCAGAAAACTCCTTTCATAATCCCAGAAATGAGGACGGTAGGTTCGGTGGACTTCCTGAATTACAAGGAATATTTCAGGGCTGGAGCAAACTGTTGCGGTATCTTCATAATGATTTTTCTTTTTCTTTTTGCACAACTCTTAGCCAGTGGCGGCGACTATTTTTTGTCACGATGGTAAGTTATACTATTCATTTTTGAATATGTTTTAACTATAGGTATGAACTTCATAACTTATTCAAATATGAGAATATTTTGCCTTTTTTTTCTAATCTCCTACTAGATAGAAAGAAGAGTCTGGTAATTCTATGTAAATATTCAATTTCCGTAAAAGGAGTGAAAAACTAAATGACGTTTCACTTGAGAACGATTGATATTAATTAAAGTTTAACTTACAATAAATACCAGATAATCAATTGTACTAGAATTTATATTTGCATACTATTTTCAAAATACATAAACAAAAGTAGTAGAGTACCTATAGTAGAGTGAACTATATACCAAAAATCCAATCAGATTCTTTTTACACAAACAATATAACTTCAAAACTATGAAAAAAATTCGAAGCTGAACTCAAGTAAAGAAAGATCAAACATGAAGTAGAATACACCCAAAGGAACTTACATTTGAACAACAAAATTTCTTTACTATATGTTCGTGAACTATATAAAAATAATCATCTCTACATCTGTAGTAGTCGAACAAAAAAAATCAAACAAAAAAGTCAACAAGTGCCCTAAAACTTCTATTTAATCTACAGATTTTTAAGGAGGAAACTTACACCATAGAACTGACACTGCCACTACATACTGCTACATAAAAAGTAATTTTCAGGGTTGACTTAGAGGAGCTCCGATTCCATTTTGGCAGTGCATCATCATCGGGATTTTTTGACTCTCTCTCGAGGCAATACTGCATTCATATCTACACAGCATTCATAGTCTGCACCATCATCGTAGCCTTAACAAGATCTTTGGTATTCTTCAGTATTTGCATGAGATCTTCCATGAGGTACGTTCCATGTGTTGTTTTCTTCGATATTTTACTAAACAATCAGAAAAAAATAAGAGAATGTTGAATGATCCGAAAACAAAATATTTCCTATTTGGCTCGGAATATCCTTATACATGAAATGGAGGATCGTTATACCGTGCGGACGTAAAAAGTGTCCCACTCTTCTTAACCTTTGAACATGACGAGTTAAAAGTCGACAAAGATCACGTAAAAAGTGTTAAGAACATGAGTACATTTATCTTATCTTATGTTTGTTATGTAACGGTGCTGCCACCTAGTATCATTAGTTAAGTATTCATTCTGTGTATTATATTATGTGACTATATAATATTGGTATAAGATTGTTCTTTGGTCCTATGATATTGTCAGAGACACTAGTATAATGTTCGCTAGTCACTCTTGTCGGAACCTTTGATGTTTGTCTCACAGTTTTATTTTTTTGGGACTACTGCGTGTCCATAATTTCCCGTCCCGAGTGGATTTGTCAGCGTTTGACATTTCATACACTGCTCAACAAGTGAATAAAAGATATAAACTGCTCGACAGTAAAACGAATATTATGAAACGCTTTGAATTTTTTATTCAGATTTTGCAATCGATTTGAAAATAAGTTATCGAGGAGCTAAAGGGACTTGCAACTTCAAATATAGCTCAGAACTGGATAAAATGTAAATAATATAAAAGTTATAAAATTAAACAAAGTTCGGAAAGCGTGTCGGAGAGTTTCTAACGAAGGGTCGAACCCAGACGGTCCTCTTGAGATAGGTTAGGTTAGGTTAGGTCCAAAGTGAGTGGGTCTATTCGACCTTCCACCACAACCCGCAAGGGTTTATTGTGGCTCACACCTATTCACACTCGACCAAATAAACACAGCTCCTTAACGAAGCCGATTAGTTTGTATGGCGAGTGGTCTTTCAGATCAGATGGTGAGAGTACGTCTTTGCCGAACTCTAAAAACCTGATTCGGTCCCCAGCGAGGCAGGCAAAAAGTATATGCTCTGCTGTTTCATCGCTAATGAGGTTGTCGGATAGTCAAGGTGCAAGATTCCCACCTTGATACCCCCGTCAACCTTCCCATATTAGGGTTTTTGCACGTCAGCTACACCTGACGATGCCTTAGATTCAACCGTGCAGGGATTTTTCGCCTCTGGTTTTGGTGAATCATCACTTGACTACAAACGTTTGCTAACCTGCTCATTGGGGGTTTGTTCCTCCACCTGATATAGATTCTGCGTACGCCGCTCAAGAATTTGCTGCAAGGCTGTTTCATAAGGTACCCCGCTCTTGAGAAAACGACTCAGTCGTTTCCTGGCTCCACCACCAAACCTTTTTTTATAGGTTCAGTTATTGGATAAGGAGTTGGAGAGTTGAGAAGCTCTCACTCTTGATCTAAATTCACAGGCTGGTCAGTTGGAGTCGTAAGCTCAACATCCATCTCCTCTGTAGACTCAGCGTCAGAAAGATTTTTTAAGTTTACTCTGTCCATAAAAGTCCCACGAGTAGCTAGGGAAAGAAGGTCAATCACGGCAGAGCCCCGAATTTCCGTGACAAGGCGATACCACGACGAGAGGGCGCCCTTTATATCGAAGGTTCCATAGAGACAGCTGATAGGCTCAGTGTCATTCATCCTCTCGGCACGGATACACACACCTTAGGATTAAGCCATCGTTGGAATGCCATTCAGTTAGGGAATAACAAAACCACAAGTGATTCTATCATTCCCGTATTTAGCGGGGCTACGTGGAAGCAGGCATCCGATGTGGCCGGTTTGCTCAACCCCCACATCCCAAGCCAATGTACTCGCCAAAAACAGCATGCACAGTGGTTCAGGCAGTGAAAGATGAACAAGGACAGCCAACCCGCCGTCCTCTTGAGATGCATCAACATTGAAACAACCATGTACGCAGGTGGTTATTCTCAACTAAACGAAGAATAATACTAATTGCTTTTCTACGAGTATTACTGCAGAAGAGTTTTCCTTGAAGAACATTGCACAATAGATGCCAGATTTACCTGCAGGTAGTCACCATGCCCGTATCTAAACAAAATTCTGCAAGAGACAGATTAAGGCAAAAACGTCAGTTATTTCTGAGAAATTAGTGCCTAATATTTTGGAATTATAGTACATGTTCCTCCTCAAGGATAAGCATGAATAAGTAAAGACCCGAAATACGCCATCTATGGATTCACATTTGGAATACTTGTTTATTTCTGTTATTAACGGATCGAGTTTTCTGTGGATCCCAAAAATGGCGTTTTCAAACGGGGAAATCGTCTTTCCCTACTCCGACTTGTTTTTTTGGACACTTGTGTGTGTTGAACAATGCATTCGTGATTTAACCTAGCACAACTGACGAGACCTTTGGCGGGTCGATACAGCATTGTCTGGTTTTGAATCCCAAATGCTTAGTTTTTGGTCTCTATTTTCAATTGGACGTGCATTTTGGTATGAACCCTCAACCAGGGCCGGATTTGGAAGTCTGTAGGTCCTGGGGCAACGAAGTAGTGGTGGACTCTAATTTTTTTGCTTTCTGTTTCATGTTTTTTTAATAAACGTACTTTCACAAAATTGCTGGGAAGTAGAGTTCCTAGAAGACGGTTTCCAATTGACGTAAGGCTTTCAATGAAATTTAATTTTCAGATTGCATAACAGAATGTTTATCAGTATTATACACGCATCTATGAGATTTTTCAACGTTAATTCTTCTGGAAGAATACTAAACCGATTCTCCAAAGATTTGGGAGCTGTGGACGAGCTTTTGCCAAATGCTTTCATCGATACAGTACAAGTGAGTTTCACCTTCTATTCTAGGTTGTTACAAAAGTTTGTCCGTATTTATTACTCTACTTTAAACTGTAATACCTCAGTGAATACTTATTCAATTTAATCGAAATAAGCGCCATTTGAATCAGTGCACTTTTGCAAACGTAACACGAGTCGATTAATTCCGTCAGCATGAAAATTGTGTGCTCGGGATTCGATAAAGTAGACGAAAGCCATTATTTGCCTGGTCCTGGTTGGCGAAAGTTTTACCGGTGAGAAAGTTATCGAAGTTCTTAAAAGATGGTAGTCGGTTGGTGAAAGGTCTGGGGAGTATGGTGGATGAAACGTGCGGATGATTGTTGTTGTGGAGCAGGATTGGACCTCTTCTGTTAACAAGTGCCGGCTGCTGGTGACGCAATTTTCGGTACATGGTTTGGCCCGGTTGTATAAAGTTCTGGTGAATGACACCAGCCGTTGACCACCATACAGTAACCATGGTCTTTTTTTGATGGCTCATTGGTGTCCAACCATTGTCCTGAACGTCTCCTGTTGTAGAGGATAAACTTTTCATCACACGTGAAGATCCGATCCAAAAAAGGATCGTTTTGGTTGCTCAAAAGCAAAGAAGAACAGACTTCGAAACGTAGCAATTTTTGTCAATCGTTCAAATCGTGGGTCACCCAATTTTGGAACTTTTCGACATTTCTAATATGTTTTGAACCATCAAAAACCGCGTGGGAGTTGACGCACATTTCTTCCGCCACTCCAAGCACCTTTTATGATGGGTCAGTCTCCACCAGGGTCCTCAAATCCTTGTCCTGGAGGTCGACCACTTCGTGGCTTATCTTCGAAGGTGAAATCTCCAAAACCAAATTTCGCAAACCAGCGTTGAACAGTGCATTCATTAACGCACCATCATTGCCAAATGTCTGGTTAATTTTTCGGGCTATTTTGGCAGCACTGGTTGAATTCGTAGAGAAAAATTGGCCGAAAATCGACGACATTATATAGTAATAAGCTAAAAACAGCAAAAAAATGAAATTTGAAAAAAAAATAACAGCATCAATGTACAAAATTCACATTAAAACGGACAACACTTTTGAAACAACATTATATAATTAGCATTATCAAATACGTAAACAATCAGCTTCAGAATTTCATAAAATATGGAATGAATATAATATTTTTTACTCTCCCTACAGGGTTTTCACATTTTCGCCGAACGAATTTTCGTTGGAGAGATCAAACTTTGAGATCAAGTGAAAATCATTTCATTTTCAGCTTATGTTGAACTTAGTGGGAGCGATAATTGTTGTTTCCTTCGTAGAACCTTACCTACTCGTACCAACCTGTGGAATGGTTCTTATTTTCTACCTTTTGCGAAGGCTTTACCTCAGTACCAGTCGAAATGTTAAACGTTTGGAAGGAATCAGTAAGTAGAATAAAATATAGAATATGGACAACAATAAATCTTTTAATTTTAAGCAAGAAGTCCGGTTTTTGCTCACCTAAATGCGACTCTCCAAGGTATAACCACAATCCGTACCAATGGTGCCGAAAAAGTATTGGTAGACGAATTTGATAAGCTGCAGGACATCCATAGTAGCGCTTGGTTCATGTTCTTGTATACATCCAGAGCTTTCGGTCTTTGGTTGGATCTGGTGTGTACTCTGTTTATTGGAATTGTTACGTTCAGCTTCGTCATCTTAGCGGACGGTTAGTATAAAAGTATTTCAAATAGATTACACTAAAAAAAGTATGACCTAAAGTAAATCGTCAACAATTTACAAATTATCGAGATTGTTTTTCCGGGTGTTCATCGTTGAGTTTTCTTCGAAGGTCTACTTTTCGCCATCATTTCATATAGCTTGTTTGAAAAGTGGTTGACAATATTTCTTGGTGAATCTTTCGAATCCGGACTTCCATTGTCCATAAATGGTGTTAATAGGTCCAAATTTTGTGGAAGAATAAATGAAATGTTTAAACTGTTGCAAGATAAACTACCTACTCGTAATACTTAGTTTTGACAACGCTATGTTCTAGACATATATTACATTTAAACTAGTACTAAATAGAGTGTCAAGTTAAAATTTAAGGATAATACTATATGAACCCTAACGTTTTCTTAGATTATTCTGGTAGCAGCGTAGGTGTGGCAATAACTCAATGCATAGGTCTGAGCGGTCTCGTGCAGTGGGGCATGAGGCAGTCTGCTGAACTCGAAAACCAAATGACCTCAGTTGAAAGAGTATTGGAATTCACGAAAATAGAACACGAATCCGATCTGGAATCAGTAAGAACCAAAAAATATATAATAAACATTCAGTAATGAAATGTATAACTAGCGTAGACCGGCGTATAATAAATCCAAAACTAGCCCCGTTCCCTAACACCAGAACTATAACACTCTTCTGAAATGAGCTACTTCATCTCCTGAAGACGCCAACTTAGTGAAACGCGCGTCGAGAAAAGTGTTGCAGTTCTTATGTTTGGGAACGATGCTGGTTTTGGAATCAGTAATCGTTCACAATTGTTCTAGCGTCCTGACAAGAAACCTCCAATCTCGTGGCCGAAACAAGGGAAAATCGAATTCATTGATACCACGATGAGGTATGCTCCGTTTGAACCACCGGTTTTGAAACATTTACATTTCGTTATAAATCCCAGAGAAAAAGTGAGTATTATGTTACACTGCACCAGCACTCGTAGTTGTTTTTACAGATTCTATAGAAAAACTAAAATTTACAACAATATAAATTAATTGTATCAAGTTGTAACTTGTTTCTTATAACGGCAAAATAGTATCGGAATTGCAAAGAAGTGTATCATGTTCGTGTCGCTAAAACTCATTATACTATAACAATTTTCAATTGAAGGTGATTCATTAGCAACGTCGCACTTGAAGTGACCAACGGATAGTCTTCTTACTAACTCTGCAGAGGCGTACCAATATAATATTTTCATTCATTTAAACACATAAGGTATTTACAAAAAAATTGTTATAGTAGGTGGCGCTACCTGAAGTCAATGGTGAAACTAATTACACTTTCTTATTATGCCTAATACAGTACTTCAAAAAAACAGAAAAGATTACAAAATAGTTATTATGTTCCTTTTATATAGAAAGAGAACTACAAAGCAAAGAAATAATTACCTATGTTATGCTTATGCTATGTTATGCTTAAGTTTCAGAATCCATTGACTCGTCCGAAGAGGAATCCCCAATCACACTTAAATCCTTTATTATTTGGTCGAAAACAGTGTCTACCATCCCGTCCAATCTCCACATTTTCTTTTCTTCCTTGATCACATGGGCTACAGCATTTGCCCAATCTTCTTTCCGTATCCGTTCCATTGCGAGTTCTAATAAAAGTTGGACATCAGAAATTTTATATGTCACGTTTTCACGAGCTACGTTCAACTCGCAATGGTAAGGAGGAAGTCTCAAAATGGTGATGCCTTCTGCACGATTTATTGTATCCACCACATGCTGGCGATATCTGCCACGATGCTGTTTAATGACATTCATAAGCTCGGCCTTAACCATGATCTCGGAAAATTGAATTCCTTTTTGTCCTAACCAACCCTGCATTTCTGCTTTTCTGGTGGTCATAGTTGGCAGCTGTTCTACTAATCGGCTATGATAAGAAGCGTTATCTATTACTATTACCGAATTTGGCTCGACTCGTGATAGAAGGGATTCAAACCATCCTTCAAAGCGTTCGGTGTCCATGTCTTCATGATAATCCCCCGTTTTTTTGGATAACAATCCAAGGATAACAATCCAATAACAACCTAAGATCTTGCCAGATCTTAGATACTGTTTGACCAGCATTCACCCACGTTTTGTCCAGATAATAAATCTTTTTGTGAGCAGAACGCATTTCTCTAATAGAGCAAAGATATATACGTCACCATGAGATTATATCTTCTCTTTCTATTAAGACAGATTTACGGGATCGTTTGGCATATATAAATTTTAAATCTTTTTTTATTATTTTCCTTAACTTCTCTTTGCAAGTTTTCTGGTTCGGAACAGTGTTCCAAGCTTTTGAGAAGCAGCCTTTGCAATTCCAGCGACATGATTGTGCCAAGATATATTGGTGTCCATTTTGACCCCCAAAAAACTTATCGAAGCAGAAAGCGGAATTGTCTATCATGTCATTATTATATCCGGTTCAGAGACATTTATCTTTTTGGAGAAAACTGGGTTTTCGGTGAATTGAATCAAACCTGGTTTCCTTCTATCTCCCCATCAATAAAAGAGTTTCTGTTTTTACCTGAACTGCGTGCTCTTGTAGATGTGAAGACTGGGAGTTCAGTCCAGAACATTCGGTAGTATTCGAAAGCATTCCAGAACATCCCCAAACACTCTCGAATGTTGTAGAAAGTTTTGGAACATTGTGGACCATTTGTAACCTTTTTTGTATGAGCCAGGCTAACCATTAGTAGGGGTATATAAAGCAAGATCTGTCCTAGGTTCGAAACGTACCACTAATCGAAACGGCCAGGCGCTCCATGCGCACGTTGACAGACATGAATATCTAGTGCTGGGACCAGATGAGCCTACGTACTATCGCGGGCAGACTAGGCCAGATGTACTAGACATTGCGCTTCTCAGAAATGTCTCTCTGACTAGCATAATTTACGTTGTCGGAACTGGATTCTGATCATAACCCAGTAGTCCTGGTATTTGGCGATGATCTTCCTTCCCCTGATTATTGCACGAAATCTAAGACGGATTGGGATGTCTTCACAGCCCAACTCGAAGAGATACGCGCCCCTCCTGAGGTACTCGACTCTCCTAACGAACTCGATGCGGCAGTCGAGCGTTTCGAGCTTTCCGTAAATGATGCGTTTCGAGCGGCCACCTCCAGGGAGGAGTGTCCGCTGAGGAGCTATAATGAGTTTCCCCCTCGTATCAAAGCCTTGATACGAGAGAGAAATCGCCTGAGAAGAGCTGAAGGGATATATCAGGGCCGCAAAGGCTAAGAAAGCACCGGGGGTCGACTCAATAACTAACAAGTTGTTGAAGAGGCTTCCGGACAACTGCGTTGAGTGCTTACTGAATATAATTAATAGTACGTTAGCCCTCAGACACTTCCCCAGTAGGTGGAAGCATGCGCTCGTCATCATGATCCCAAAACAGGGTCAGAACCCGCTGTTCCCACAGAACTACCGCCCGATAAGTTTACTCTCTTCGGCGGCTAAGCTGGCTGAAAGAGTTGTTCTCCAAAGGCTCAACGAAGAAGTTGAGGACCAAAATGTTCTGCCTGATGAACAAATTGGCTTCAGGAGAGTCCACTCCACTGAGTTACAGGCTCTAAGGCTGGTCAAAAACACCATCCGCGAGTTAAACACACACAAAAAATGCACATTGTCCTATTAGACATCTCGAAGGCCTTCGACCGTGTTGAAGGGTAGGGAGAAGGGTAGAATGATCACTGACGAATATTACTAAGAACTTTTAGATATATCGGATATTGATTTGAAGCCAAAACGACTGCATTTGACGCAGAAAAGTGTTTTTTTCATGAAGACAATGCACCTGTGTAGTCACGATGACATAAATTGGGCTATGAACGGCTAAACTGCTCTCCCATGCAGGATATTCTACAGATTTAGCCCCCTGCGACTATATCCAGTTTTCAAATTTAAAGAAATGGCTGGTTGGTAAGTGATTTGGGCCGAATGAAGAGATCAATACAGAAACAATTGCCTATTTTGGGGGCCTTGCGAAACCTAATTGGAAGGAATGAAAAAAATGGAAAAACGCAAGACTGAATGTACCGAGCTGAAAGAGATTATGTTCAAAAATGAAACGTTTATTCCTTCTAAAAGTCATTGACTTATGAAACATCCCTCGTATATAAAAATCCAATTTGATTCATGAATAGATCGATATTTGAAAAAGAAACATCTCATTAATTGAAAACGTTTTGATTGATTTCACTATCTCATGCGCCCTTTTTACAGATTGGGATTGTTGGTAGAACCGGAGCTGGAAAATCATCATTGATATCGGCGTTGTTCAGACTTGCATATTATGATGGTTTGATTCTCATAGACCACTTAGATATCAGTGTCATCGGATTGCATGATCTCAGAAGAAAGGTTTCCATTATTCCTCAGGTGCAAAATTGGCAGTGGTATAAAAGTGTAAAAAATCTGACAGAAACTCAAAGTATGATGCATACCCGTACTTGTAAAATTCTGAGGAATCTATAGAAAATTTTTCTTTAAAATACTTTTATTTATCGGTTACAAAAAATTATTGTTTGAAAGTACATTTTCACATTTTTTCGGCCCCTATACGCCAAATATCGGCCACGTGTTTTCCAGTTTGTTTCTGACCTGGGGCCTGTTGAACCGGGATATCCGACCTCTACAACTTGTCGTTGACCTATTTTAGGGTGTTTGGCAAAATAAATCACTCTCAGTTCAAAAAACTGACAATATTTTAGGAGGAACATGAATTAATTTTTTCCTTTGGTTTGAAAATATAATTCACTTACATAAATCGCACCTATATTTCTTTGAAGGGACGACTTCGTATGCAGTCTTGGAATTCTGTGCATTTTAGGTGATACCAGCCGATACAATAATCACAGCTAATAGTTTATTTTCTGGTTCATCATCTTCATCAGTGATGAGATCCTCTTAACATAAGGTACATTTCAATCTTCCATTTTCATTTGTTGTCTCAGTATTCTCCATATTCTCTTGTAGGAAATTGCCTACTTTTTCTCCTAGATTTCTTTTTTTCTCACTGCTTCTATGCTCCTTTTTCATTCTCATGTTCTCAATTCTTTCTTTTTTTTATTGTGGTGCTTTTTTCAAATGATAACTTTGCCAAGCCTGAGAAAAAATTGCACTAGATAGTCTAGCTTTTGCCGTTTTGGTTTCCGTTTTTTTCATGTTATAAGGAAAACACAAATGAGCCTTAAAAAAATCAACGTTTTCTTCTACTACTACTCCTTTTTGATCTCTCATTTTATCTATATCTCCTTTCTCATCAACTGTTTCTACTATTTCCGTATAGTGGTCTTCAGATTCATTTCTGTTAGTTTCTGAACTTCTTGTTGAGCACTTCGTACCAGAACCCCAATTTCCATGTTTAAAGATTCTGGATTCGACAATTCTTCCTGAGTTTTGGTTGATTTTCGGGTTTTACCGTGGTCTTCTTTGGTTATAATCTCCAAAAGTTTCGACTGCGACAATCACCTTCAGTGGCGTAGTAGAAGTACTCTTGACGTGCCTACTGATTTTCAGTTGACACATTTGCCGTAAAATACCCTGTTTTATGGAAGAACGAAAAACGGTATTATTTTTCTCTTCTATTTTTGACAACCCGATTACTTTCTATTGAAATATCCTGCGTACATATAAAAAAGTGTCTGAAAACTGGCAATTATTACTTTCTAAGAAACAATGTAACAAAATGTGAATGTTATATTTGTGGTGGTAGTGACAGGAAGATACATCATTATTTTTAGTGTTTTCGGCTACCTTGACCGACAAAAAGATTTATATATGATTTCTGTCTAGTTTTCCGGCAACTCAATAAAAATAATATTTCTATTTTCAACAGAAGGTGAACATGAATAGTTTCGACTTATGAACAAAAATATTTATTGAATTTTCATCAAACAATACTAAAAATGATTTCTTTTCATATAAATTCTGTCCGACTTTGATATCTTGTCCCGTTGTGCACACCTATTATGTTCAGGTGACCTCTTAAGTAAAAATGACCAGCGAGTAGTCCTCTAATTGTTCTGAGCTGATTCAGTTTATTGGTAGCAATCATTTAATCTAGCAATCCATTTTGACTTTTTGCAAAGTTCGTGTGTTCTTTAATTGTTGATGTATCTCTTGTCTTACACTGAACCATCTTCATCAAAATGTCATACTTTTTAAGGTCTTAGTTATGGATGCTGGCTCAGTAGTTGAATTCGACCATCCACATGTACTTCTTCAAAACAGAGATGGAATGTTATTTGACTTGGTGAAAAAAACTGGTCCTGGGGTGTCCGATACGCTTAAAAAAGTAGCTCAAGAGGTATGTTCAGAAAAGCAATTCATAAAATATTCATATACATGTAGATTTTGATCTTCCAGTATGTTAACTGATGAATTAAGATTATTGCCTGTAACAATAACTTATATACCTATCGATTTTTCCCAGAATTATGAAGCCAGAAAATCTAATGCAGCCCAGTCACAAAAACCGAAGGCTGTCCAACCAGGGGGTTCTGTACAATCACAAAGAGACAATGCAACTCAACCACTAAGAGATAGTGATGAAGAAGAAGAGTCACCGAGAAATGGTTGATAGTTGGATGACCCATTTTATATGACTGCTGCCTTTCATGTGGATATCAATAAATGTTTTTTATTTTAGAAAAATCTTGAGTAGTGGTTTTGTTTTCATTGAAAACTACTAAACTAGTATTTGGTTTCGTGATTTAGCGCCAAACATAATTAAAGAGACTCTATTAAAAGGTAAATCTGGAATCTCTTGCGTAGAATAAATCTAAAATCGAGCACTTTTCTCAATCACCAGAAATGCAATACACTTCTCATCGCGCGTTTTACCAACCAAGTCAGCGTCTTCAGGAGATAAAGTAAACTGTTTTTTCACCTCTTGTCTCTAGCCTACATTTCTGTTCAAGGCCTATTGATATATTTTTGATTTTCACCTCCTGTACAGTCGCTTTGCTATGATTCATTCAAAGGTGTCTACTGAGACAATTTCGACTGGAAAACCTTTATCATTTTACTGCCAAACTAATCTAAATGAATATAGTATAACCACAACTAAAAATGACAGTTGAATATATCAGGAAAACACCCTATGTTACAATACTCATTCATGAAAAGAACTGTATGACTTAAAGTTCTGGTTTCATTTCAACATTGTTGGTAAAAATTATTTAGGAAACATGCTGGCAACAACGTATAGTAGCAGTTAGAAGGTGATGGAAAAAGATATATTATGTGTCACATCCGCTTTTGAGTTTGATTCTGTAACTTATTCATCTGGATAATCACGGTTGAACTATTTCCGACAAGTATTTCATTATTACCACTTGTTTCAGAAAAAGAAATATTTAGACAAGTTACTAAAACATACTGACTCACCAATAGGTATAAAAAAAGTGTAAGTGATCTCTGATATCTGTACATGGAAGACGTTTGAAAAAAATATTATTGGGTCTTTATTAACAAATAGAACCCAAAATAATGTTTTTCAGACCTTCTGCCTGCCTGTACGTTTGTGCTTGCTAATCTCAAAAACGGCTCAATTGATTCAAGTTTGGTTTTTAATAATGTATCATGGTATTCATCACTTAACATTAAGTGTTTGATTTATTTCAAATGATTCATGAATAAAAAAAAGGTATGTAAGTTTGAAAAATTGAATTATATTTTTCAAATTGGATTAATCCATACAATAACTGTTCGAAAATAAAATATATTGTAGCCAGTCTGGAAAGCAATGTGAGCAATTTACGACAAAAACAAAGTATTACACCAAATGATAATGCAGGATAGGTGTAATAACTCAGACAATACATTTGAGTAAATAGTTTATTTGATGTATATAGATAATCTTTCGGTTATGTTAACAAAAAGTCCCAATCGGTTCTTTTTTACATTTTCGTAATGTAACGTCGAAAGCAAATTTAATTACAACCTATAAAGGTGAAAAAATACTACTTTACCTGAGATACACGAATCAATCGAAATAATACAAAGCAATCAAGACAACAGTCAGACTATTTTTCTCCATGAAATTGAACGGCACAAGATGTATCAGTATAAATTGATTAAGGCTTTCGTGGCCTAGAATTTGAGTGTTAGTATCTTCATTCGGGTTTGAGATAGTAACACTGCATCAGTATATACGGGGCTTTTCAAATTGAGTTACCTGGGATCGAATTCTTAGTTACAGAGATAGGTGTCGTGACATTCTTTTTCCTTTCATGAACATATCTTTATTTATACTAGAATGGAGTATATTTCAGTTTGAATAACAATTTTCTAGTTGAATTGAATGAATAATTTCCGAATTTCGTTTTTAATAAGTATTTCCCAACTTTTCGCCTAATGAAGGGTTTTCTCGAGTGAGAAGTACTTTCTTTTTCTCAAATTAGATTTATATTTCAATGTATGTAATAAACCTTTATACTTTCCAAAAAAACAAAATAAAATCAATATTATTTCTTAGTTCTGTAAAAAAATGGTTCATTCATGAGGAAATAACCCTCACACTTTTTCATTTCGAAGGAAAATCGGAGTTTCAAAAATGACTGTGAAGTCACTATAACTTACCCTCTTTCAAACCACAATCCAAAATGTATATGATTTTTTAAAGCAGAAAAAGTACCTACATGAATGAGTATATGACAACTATTCGATTATTATTAGTGATTCAAATATCTCTTTAACAAAATTCCAAATATAAAGTCTTTGTTTCATAATATGAAATGCTTGCTAATTTGAGAACTAACCATTAATTCGACATCAAAAACAAGTTGGCAATGCCGCACACACAATCAGAACAATGAAAATACAGGAAGAAGAAAAATACTATATGAATGTTTTTGCAGTGTTGCTAAGTTCATGTCAATTGGATTGTATTTTAATGTTTTATCTGGTAAATAGATGGGCGAAGTACAAACTTTCTTTCGATCCTAGACTAAAAACAGACTAGAAATTACTATTTTCTTGTTTGAATCGGAAATGATTCTTAAAAAAGAAAATGAACGTATGACATGTTTAATAAAAAGGTTTATGAATTGAAAATTTTCTAATTTGAGATTTTGAATTGCTCTCAGTTTATAATAGATATACAAAAAATAGTTAATTATCAGAATAATTTGAATGAAAACATCGTATCAGAGTATATTAGAAAACCAAAACTTTGAATATAAAAGCATGATTTCAAATGAAATTTCAAATGTTAATCCCTTTCAATTGTCCTACATAGTAGGATTTTGCAAATGCTCATCGAAAAAAAAATCTTCCATTTAAGTCAAAATTTAAAAAGCACCGCAGAAAAGTGCACAGTCTAAAAGAAATAAAATATCACCTTTATCTTGAGTTGCAAATGTAGCACCAACAGTAAATTGTCACAAGTAACTGAAACAATGTGGTATTGAAAACAATCAGCAAATAAACAATGTAAAACTTATTAAGAGTTATTTTGTCTCCTCTGATAATTTTCGAGCTACCACCTCGCAAAGTTTCATTTTTGCTGCCTTATCCTCAGCTGTAGAGGGTGCTACATCCCTTGTCATCCTTACCCTAAATCTGTACAAATTAAAATTAGGAATGCTCCTCAATTAACTAGTTGCAACCTTCGCTAGCAACTGGTCGCAAGTTTTCTTTGCGTCTCCAAGTAACATGGATGTGTTCGGTTTGTAAAAGATTGGATTATCCACAGCTGCATATCCAGTTCCGAGAGATCGTTTCATGACAATGATATTGAAATCCACAATTCAGACGCCGGATTCAATCATATTTTGTACATTGAAGAAAACCTGCCTATCAACCATAAAGAAGTGGCGCTAGAAACAAAAAAAGACAGAACTCGGAATAAATTATATTTTTATTTGATTCACGGATGGCCAGACAAAAACGAACTCAACCAAGAGTTGAAGGTCTATGAAACTAAAAGCGATCAACTTCATTTAGAACAGGGTTGCATTTTATGGGGCTATCGAGTGATAATTCCAAAAAATTTACAAAATAAAATTCTGAAAGAAATTCATCTGAGTCATTTAGGAATCAATAAATGTAAATCTATGGCTAGATCACACGTATACGCCCAATATTGATTTAGAAATAGAAAATATGTGCAACAATTGCAATATTTGTAATGATGTTCGTAGTAATCCGCCTAAATCCACAATGAATCCATGGCCGTTAACAAAAAAACTTTGGTGTCGGCTGCATTTGGATTTTTTGGGGACCATTCATAATAAAAAAAATTTAATTTTGACAGACTCCTATAGTAAATGGCTGGAAGCCTTCGAAATGTATGGTACCACAGCTGAAGGTACTATTAGGATTGTTCTGGTTCTCTGCCCGGACTGTTCCTAACAGTCAGAAAACAGTCACCCAACTGAATACTGAACATTTTGTTCAGTATTCAGTTGGGCGTTAACCTTTTTAGTCCACAACCGACTCACTGATTTTGGACGATTCGAAACAGTACAAACTGAGAACCAGAACAAACCTATTGATAAATTGAGGATTTGTTTTTCACAATTCGAGTTACCGGATACTATAGTGACCGATAACGGTCCGCCTTTCGCATCGACTACTTTCGAGCAGTAGGTTCATGAAAATAAATGGAATATGTCATCTGTTCTCAGCTCCCTATCATCCGTCAAGTAATGGTGCAGCTTGAAGGAGCAGTGAAAAATTTCAAACATGCTCTAAAAAAGGTGGTGTTAAGTAATGAGAATATTAAACAATTCATTTATAGGTTTCTGTTTGATTATAGAAATACGGCACATACTACAACATGGGTGAGTCCAGCTGAATTGATGTTTGGCCATAAATTAAAAGGTAGACTTGATCTGTTAATGCCAAACCGTGAAGTTCACGTAGAGGCCAAGATAGAAAAACAAATGAAAGGTTATAGGGGCAAGAACAGAGAATTGAATGTGGGTGACAATATTCTATACAGGGATTACACTAACATCAGTAATCCTACTGGAACGAAGATGTGATAACAAAAAAAAATTGGAAATACTTTGTTTGATATTGCATCGGTGGGGGTTAGGCAACATAAGAGGCATACGGATCAAATAAGACGCTCTCGGCATTCCTTACACCCTACCGATGAACATATCGAAAATGATAATATTGTAATTGACAAAAATGATGATGTGAACTTAGATCATAAGGGTGATGTTGAAAGTGATAGTATCGGTGATAGTGGCGAGATAGAAGTGCAAAATGAAAAAAATTAGATGACGGTTTTCTTAGATTACGTTCAAAGAAATGTAATTAATAACCGTAACAAAACAAAAAGTACTCAATAGGTATAATTGAGTTTAATATAGGAAAGCATTTTCAGTTGTGGTATTATTTGTGCCATTAAGTTTAATTGTAAGCCATTAACGATTAATTATTAGGGATAGGCAAGTTCGAATTTATACTTATGTGCATTTTTAGGGTGAAGGTGTGATATCGTGGAGTTCCATCATTTAGATGGAGCCTCCCGGTATATTTCTTAGAATGTTTTTTTACTTGGAAGGTTTGAATTGTATGCTGAATAAAGTCAGTCAAGTCACAACCACGAAGGTATTTGTTTCACTTAAACACTAAATTATTACAATCTTCAGGACTATTTAGGGCGACTTTCCGAGTTCCGAACTCGGAACTTCAGATTTCATAAAGGGTACCACGAGTAGCTAGGAAAAGGAGGTACATCAAGGTAGAACTCTGCATTACCGTGACAGATTTTTATGACAAGATGTTCTCGACACCGAGTGGGCTCAGAATCATACATTTTTTCGGCACAGATACACACACCTGAGGACAAGACCTCCACTTAGGAAGGCTCTTACCTCCATAGAAGACATCTCAGGCTCTCCTGCTGCGGAGCGGGATATCCATGCTAGCGTATAATTGAAATTCAAAGAACTTCAGTGTTTTTCGATTAAACAGTTAACGATTCTTATTTTTCATATTTATAAGTAAAAATTGTTTATTTTCATTACACTTGCATGGATGTTTGATATTATAAAATTAACAACATAATGAAAAACTTTGAAAGAAGAATCCATATTTATTAATGGTCGATTATGGGCTGATTTTTATCAACCGATGTAATTCAAAGTTCCAAATGCATCAAAGTACAAAAACAAATGATACATTTCTATCACACAGTCAAACGCATGTTTGAATGCAAACACTTGTACTCACCTGCGACAGGATGGATGGCAAATCTAACATTCTTGCCTTGAGATTTCAACAGGTTCACCATCTCTGCAATCGGGTATTGTGCCTTTGCCACACATAGTCCATAACCAGGAACAATGATGATATTTCTGGCGTTTTTGATGGCATCCACTGCCCCATCGATGTTAATTTCAGAATGTGTTCCAGTTATTTCCATCGGTTTTCCAGTTCCAGTGCTTGACGTACCATAACCTCCAAGAATGACGTTGGGAAGTGAACGGTTCATTGCCTGAAATGAAAGTGATTACCTATAGCATGCACGTTAAAAAAATTGATGGACACAGCAAACCAATATCTACGGCACAGATTTTGTTGAAGTTGGTATATTCGAGAGCGCGCAGGTTACGGGGAACGAAGAGACCTGTGATAGACTGTGACTTATCATCTACCGACAATGGCGTACACAATTCATGCAATTCTATTTGAAAACACAAGGCGATTTTCAGAGCTCTGGAATATTTGATGTGTCGCATATATACTAGTAATTTTTTAGTGACGTTGTATCTCCAGAAGATCTACTAACCTTGCACATGATATATGATAAAATGGCACCAGACGATCCTATAAGAGCTCCTACGATTGTCATAAGGTTATTGTTGAGCATGAAACCTTCTGCGCACAAAGCCCATCCTGAGTAACTATTAAGGACAGTGATAACCACTGGCATATCAGCACCTGAAAACAAAAATTCATATTTATATTCACAAAAATAAATGCTATATATCAATCAAGCAGATTATTACCATAAATGCAAACAAAACATTGAATTTGATTGTGAAAAAAGTAATCCAATATTATTTTTATTTCCAAACTTTGAGGTCTGCTTTTTACTAGCTATTGCACAGAATTTTAACTTTGGACTAGTAACCAATGTTATGTTTCTTTCAATGTTTGTGAACTGCTTCATTTGGTAACCCTTACCTCCGATAGCAGATGTCAAAGTGACACCCATTGCTGTAGATAATGCAGCTGTCGTTCCCAGAGCTCCCAACCCACCGACCAATGAAGGGTCATAAAACAAATATCCTCCCGCAGCAACATTTGCCAACAGCAAACCAGTGTTTAGAGCATGACGTCCTGGTAATAGAAGAGGGGTAGATTTTAATATCCCTTGGAGCTTTCCGTATGCTATGAGGGAACCACTGTAAACATTCCAAGTGAACTTCGGTGACGCGAGAAAAAATATTCATTAATACCTGAAAGTAACTCCTCCGATATATGTACCCAAGAAGAGTGCCGTCTTGATAACATTAGCAGCTGGATCTGTGGCGAAAGTAGGAAAATCATGCATGAATGTCGACACGCATGTCAGAACAGCTGCTAGTCCGACTAAACTAGAAATTATAGAAAAGTTTAATGAAATGTAAATAAAGTTAATATTTCATAGTAATCATATAATATTAAAACGAATTCTTCGTTTTGGAATTGCTTGAAAGTCCCATGTTGGGGGCCATAAGGAAGTTCAATCTTTGAGCCTATACTATACTAAAACCAATAATGATTGAGAGTAGAAGTAAGCCCAGTTTACAGCAAATCGGGGGCGTGCTTATTAATATTTGAGAGGGTTAGGAATGAAAGAAAAATTCTTAGTACAATTAGTTAAAATATAGATTTTTGTCATAAATAATACCTTTTAATCGTACTAGTATTGTGTATTATCTATAATTTGCCACAACCTACAACTCTACTGCTTACTATATTTTGATTCTGCTATAAACTGGTAACGTAAAATTTAGATATGACAACGCGCTTTACTCTCAATCATTATTGGTTTTACTATAGAGGAAGATTAGAAATCATTGAAAATAGATTTGGGCTCGATTTAGTAACAAGTTGATACATATGTCGTAACTTCACTAATGTTGATTAACAAGTTTCAACTGGCAGATATATTTTTATTTTATTTTCGTATGTTTTGAGACGTCTTAAAAACATTATATGGTTGCATTTGCATTATTCATCATCAAAGAAGATCACCAATTCAATTTTTGAAATAAAAGTGACTAGAATACTTATGTCAAAAATCTCCTCTAAATACAGATAATTTTGAGGAACTGAATTCTGAATTCAAGTATATTTACCTGTGAAATGCGGCGACAAGTTGGGGAAGATCAGTTATTTGTATTTTTTTAGCTATAAGAGTTCCCAACCCTCCACCTGCTATAACGCAAGCGGCCATTTGTGCTAATACTTCGTTACTTGGAGCAATTTGTCCTAAAGTAGCTGCTATTCCTCCAGCAACACCAATCTGGAATGATCAACAGATAATAATTATTCTGAAATTATCGTTACACTCAATTTTTAAACTCCATTTTATTAACTCCAACTGCTTAATGATAAAATTCCAAGCTACCAGTTTGGATTTAGACAAGGAAGATCTACTATACATCCTCTCACGATTCTCACGAACAACATTGAAACAACCAAGCTGAATAACAACAAAACGGCAGCGATATTTCTGGATGTGAACAAAGCCTTCAATAGCATCTGACACAAGGGTGTTTTATTCAAACTGCATCAACTGGGTTGTCCTAACTATCTAGTACATACAATTAAGACTCTGCTAATTGACAGGAAACTGAGAGTTAAAATACTGAGTAGTTTTTCAGGCTAATTTATCCCAGAGCAAGGAGTTCCACAGGGTTCACCGCTCTCACCATTGCTCACCACAGCTCTGATATTTATCATCACCAAAAAGGGAATATCAACCACTTCAGGTATGAAGCATATATTCTCCACTATGCAGATGACACCGCCCTATTTGCCCACGATCAAACGCTAGACAAAGTTATTAACAATTTGGAACATCTTGCAACAATAATAAAATGGTTCAATAAATGGAGGCTCCAGCCAAACCCATTCAAGTTTCAGTTCATCATATATAATATTCGGAATTCCACAACTTCTCCAACAATCAACGTTTTCCAGCATATCTTACATGCAAACTCGGCAGTTTATTACCTAGGTGTTACGCTTGATTCCAGACAAAATTTCAAAAGCCACGTCAATAACAAAAAAAAAGAAAGTGATTACAAGAGCCGCACATTTCACAAGTTTGACAATACCCTGGAGCAGGTGTAAACATGTCAACAGCAAGCCGAATATATAAACTATTCTGTCGTCCACTGTTTCTCAATATCAAACAAATGGCCCTGAAAACAAAGTATCTGAAACAAAGGCTATAAGGAAAATAACAAGATTAAGGCATCCCAATAACCCCAAACACAAGCCCCCAAACCCTCTGCTGTACTAACTCACTGGTATTATTCCTATTGAGGAAAGACTACCGTCAGTTACTTAGAAGTTTGCTAGAAAAGACGACAATGTAGAAATCATTAGAAAGTGTGCTGTGACAAGAAACCTCCATGCAAGAGTACGACATCGACACCCAACAGAAATACTGTTAGAAAAATTAACACAACTTTATCAGTGAAATTATTTTGTTTGTTCATTTTTATATCCATATATTTTTTCAATATTGTAAAATAAGCTATATTAGTTCAAAGCAATTTTGTTACACAAGCGGAAGGACGTCGGTCGATAGCCAGTTGAACAAAATTGTGATTTTGTTCAATAAATTACAATTATTATCATTATTATTCACTCACTTATCTGTACCCAAAAACGTGAATAACAAAATGATTATACATTTGTTTTGAAAGCATTACTTGCAACTACAATGAAAACTATCGTTCTGGTGTCAGTGGTGGGGCAGCAGTTAGATATTGGTGTCAGCAGTTGGATGAAAGCAATCATTTGAATAAATGGTTTCAGTTTCACATAGATATCTTTCAAAATCTTTATAATCTAATCTGATTTCACTGATATTTCATCATATAATAGAGTTCTCACCATTCCTAAATTATTTCCTAATCTCGATGTTGCTTGTGAACTGAGACCAGCCAAGGCCCCGACACAACATAGAGATGCTGCCAAATACGCAGCTTGATGAATTTCAGCTAAGCCATTCATTGTCGCCCACCCATACGCCCCCATGAACCCCGCCGCTGGAATAGCGTACAGAGAGTTATATTCAGCAGGGTCTCCAGGCCTGAAAATAAAAGGAAATTGTAAACTGTGTATCAGTTGAAAATAATCGGGTATCTCTTACTAATTACTTACCCTTGGGTCATTGTTGATTTCTACTCATTCTGCGCTATCAAATTATAATTTTAATGATTATATTTCTGGAGAAACGTATACCTTACCTTCTGAACATGTCTAACATCCGCTTTGTGACTAGAAATCCCCCGAAGACGTTTATAAATGAAACGAAAGCAGCAGCCGCAGCCAAAGACTGTAATAATTTTGTATAATGAATGTAGTGAATTACATAGACCAATAGTTGCTTTGGTACCAGTTGCGGATTGACTTAGATTGCACGAAATGGAGTTCTAACTGCACAGTTATAACTGTACAGTGCATTCCAGTTGAAACAAGTCACCCTCAATAATTTATGAGGATATGACAATATGAAACACGTCAACTTTAGTTTTAGGGGAGATACAGTTCTATCTGAACACCAACTCCTTGTCTTTCACCCCTTGCCCAGAAATTTTGGGTGAGCATATTGGAGGACCTCTCTTTTTGATAGCAAACTTATAGGATATTTCCATTTGCTGAATAGTCATGTTATGCCAAACACAATGCCATCCAGCCCGATTCTCTATTGCGAAATGGAGAAGTTTCTCAACAAGATGGGCCTCCTCTCATGGCGTAGTAACAGTGCGACAATTCCTCGAGAGTTCTACAGAATGGCCACCCAGATCACCCGATTTAACTCCATTGAAGTTTTTTCTATATGGATGGTTGAAATCAAGGAAACAGAAGCTTGTCTTTGCTATTATATGCAAGTTAATGGTTCTCAGTTCGAACATTTGATAAAGTACATTTTTCTGTATAGTTTCACTTTCTAGTTCGAAATTGAATACATACAGGGTGGGCCATCGAAAACTTGACATGGAGGTTTCGGGTACTAATCTTGCAAATCCGATTTTTATTGGGAGGGGGACAGTTTTCCCCAGAGGGGTGAACAACCCTTGGAATTTCAATAGGGAATAGGAGGCGAGTCGCACATCGTTTGAAAGATCTTGGAATTCTCTAAACAATAGTGTACATTTTTTAAAATTTGGACGTATTTAAAAGAGTTCTTTACGATAATTAACTTTTTCAATATTGTTAATAGCAACAAATTGTTGTACGCCGCTGCTCAGTTGGTATGTATTTGGAACTCTTTCATTTGTTTCTTACACTACTTTTTGTTAATTTTTTATTTCTTCTCTGATAAGAGGACTATTACAATTGAGAAATTTTCTTTTTCTCATTTTTATGTTAAAAGTGATATCTACATTATTACTAGTAGTGAGTGCCGTAAAGTGTTGCTAAAGAAACAATTGTTTACACAACTGCAGAGAGGGTTGAGTTGATTGAACTGTACTATGGAAATAGAAGTTGTGCTGCGAGAGCTGCTGAACTGTTCAATCAACAACATGGGAAGAATGTATCGCGACAGTATGTTTTCGATTTAATTGCATAATTTCGTGCAACTGGATCTGTAGCAAATTAAAAACGGCAAATCGAACCACCAGTAACAAATGAGGCGACACAAGTGGCAATTTATGGGCCATGTTGAGCTTCACCATACTTCGAGCACTAGAAAGTTAGCATTTGTTTCCGGGGTGTCACGAACTAGCATTCGGCGTATTTTAAAAACCCACAAAATGCATCCTTACAAGATTAAATTAACGCAAGAACTGAATGAAGATGATTTTGATCGACGCTTGCAATTTTGCGAGTTGTTTAGTGAACGAGCGGTGGAAAATCCACATTTTGTTTTCAACATTTGCTTTAGTGATCAATGTTCTTTTTTTCTAAATGGCACAGTTATTCGCCATAATTGTCGCTATCTGACCGCTTGGCTACCGACCGACTGAAAAGCAGAATTTACTGTACTCCTCCTGCATCACTCGAAGATGTACGGCAACGAATTACAAATGAATGTCCCCAAATCACTTCAGAAATGCTCCACAATGTTCGAGAACGTTTCCAGCAAAATCTCTATTATTGCATGGAAGCTGGAGGTGCCCATTTTGAGCATATGCTAATATGAGAATAAAGTAAATAACTTCAACTCTAAATTTAATATGGTTCGTCCAAATAAAAAAATATACACCGTTGTTTAGAGAATTCCAAAATATTTCAAACGATGTGCGACTCGCCTCCAATTCCCTGTTAAAATTCCAAGGGTTGTTAACCCCTCTGCTCCGGGGTTGAAGTGACGACGCTGTAAATGGGAAAAAACTGCCCCCCTCCCAATAAAAACATCAGTACCCAAAACCTCCATGTCAAGTTTTCGATGGCCCACCCTGTATACTTTTTTCGGATATTGCTTATCGTTGTAATGTCAGAAATATTACAGGGTTCGGTACAGAATTCTAAGACTTTTCAAATAAGGTGTCACTCGACTATTATTCTCATTTGAAATTTTTGACATATGGGTTTTATGGATGGTTGATAAGGAGTTGACTTTTACCTGGAAAGGTGCTAACTAAACTAAATTCAACGTGTTTCACAGATTTTTTGATTTCAGAGTGGCATATTTTATCTGAAATGCACTGGCTTATTGAAAAAAATATATCCAATAACGGATTCCTTTATTTGAATTCATGATGCAATAATGCAAATACATGAACTTCAGCTATCAACAAAGAATGATATAAAAAGAATGAACTGCTCAAGTCAACCTCATTACTATACCGAATGAATATCAATTATTTACCTCCACCGTATTTGTTGGATAATATCCACCATTCATCAACAATAATCCTCCGACTGCTGTTATTCCCGATATGGCATTTGTAACCGACATGAGAGGCGAGTGGAGAGCGGGGGTAACACCCCATACTGTATGGTAACCAACGATACCTGAGAGACCCAGAATCGAGAGCATCGATGTGAATTCAGGATTTGGGGAACACATGCCAAGACCCAAGATCGATCCGATTCCTGAAAAAAAACAATCAAATATTAGAAGGAACAAGTTGATTTAGTTGATGATCATTCATACCAGTTGTGATCATCAAGGATTTATTGAGATTGTCTCTAAAAGGAGTTAGTTCCTTCTTCATCTCCTTAGCCAACTCAATTTCTTTTTTGGGAGGCGCCATAGAAACGGCAGTCACCTTTGGTGGTGGTGGGGGCCACATGAGGTTTCCTCTGTCCAAAATGATGCTGCCACGTACAACTTCATCCTCCAAATTGATGTGGAAATGGTCTTTTTCTCCTGAATCGCAAATTAACTTTTTATTCGGGAAGGACTAAACAAAAAGCCAGTAGTCTTACCTATCGATAGAAGAAATTTGGAAATATTGTTAGCGTACAGAGTCGAACTTTGTGTGGGAAGCCTGCTGGGGAAATCTGTCAAACCTACATGTACAACGTCATTGTAGGTGTACACTTTACCAGGCTCGGTGGTTTCTATATTTCCGCCAGCTTCTGCAGCTAAATCGACCACTACACTTCCTGGTTTCATCAATTCAATGTGTTCCTATATTAAAAACAAGATGATTGATAGATGTTCACACAAGTAATGCATTTTTAAAAAGTAGACTGATTCTGTATAATAATGTTGTAAACCATCCCCTGGAAAAAAAACGCCGGCCGCCGCTGGTAGTCACAAATCGATTGTGACTTGGCCAAGATAGCGCTGAACTCGACTTGCGCTTCGTGATCATTCTAGATGCCGCGTCGCTTCGATAGACTTCTAGCGACTCTCCTATAGGCTTTGAGAGACTTCGATTACCATATATAAACACTACCCACATGCATATCGAGGAAGTCTAGTGACAGTGCGGTGCGAAGTGTTCTAATAAGGCGATAGACATTTCAATATCAGTTTGAAGTTCAAGTTGAAGTATTTGGTTGTATTGTCGGTGTAGCAGCGAAATAAAGTTAAGTTTAATTGTACAATGTAGTCACTTATTGGCAAACACACGGGGAAAACGTAACAAGATAATTCATTTTCCAAAAAACATATATGTTTAGGGTAAGAAAAAATAATTTGAAACTACAACATAACTGAGAACAAACATGAGATGATTATTTTAATAGTCTAACGGAAAAATTATCGATATATGTATTTTCAAATATAATTATATACCAGGTATGCACACGGGTTTGGAGAGTCCAATTGTTAATTTTTTTTTCAGCTGTATTCATTGCTATATGACACATTGACAAATTAAACAGGGTCTTGCTATTCTCTCACCTTCAATATCAGTACTGGAGCCTTCTTTCCAGGTATCAAGGCTGTAGATATTATAATATCTACTTCTTTACATTGTTTCGCAAATAGGGCGTGTTCAGCATCAATGAATTCTTTAGACATTTCTTTACTGTAACCTGCTGAAGTACCTCCTTCTTCCTGAAATGTTAATATTGTTTGAGGTTGGTATCAAGAGTTGAAAAAAGCTTCTATAAAAATTACCTCTATATTGATAGTTAAAAATTCTGCACCCAACGATTCGACTTGTTCTTTAACTGCAGATCTAGTGTCAAATGCCCTCACTATAGCTCCCATACTTTTTGCTTGGCCTATAGCAGCTAAACCTGCTACACCTCCACCTATCACAAGAATTTTTGCAGGCGGTACCTTTCCTGCAGCTGTTATCTGGCCTAAAATAATCCGAAATACAATAAAGTGTGATTTAATACCGTAGATCAATACAAACTAACCTGAAAAAAACCTTGGAAAATGATTAGCTGCTTCGACAACTGCCCTGTAGCCAGAAATATTCGCCATGGAGCTCAATGCATCGAAAACTTGAGCCCTTGATATCCTTGGAATGCAATCCATAGCTGAAATGTATTTAGTATTGTAGGCGCTGGGGATTTATGTTCCAATAAAGAAAATCTTACCGAATGCGTTGATTTTCTTCTGCGCCAATTGTTCTATCAATTTCTGATTCTGTGCTGGATACATGAACGATATGAGAGTTGAATCTTCTCTGAATTTGTTTATTTCATGGTCCAGTGGTTGACGAATTTTCAGAACGATATCTGTAGTTGAAGTAACATAGTAACATAGTGATAAATACTTCTAACACTGTTCTTTACCTGTCGCAAACGCATTGTGAGTGTCTACCAACTTAGCACCAGCACTTTCATAATCTTTATTCCTGAATTTTGCTAAAACTCCCGCATCTTCCTCTACATTCACCTTGAATCCTTTTTTCACTAGAGTTTCTGTCACGGCTGGTGTAATAGCAACCCTGGGAAATGAAAGGAACCATCAGAAATTGTTCGTAAGTCACGATTTCAACCAGATCCATTGTGAACATTAATTTTTTTTACTATAGATTTCAGTCTAATCACGATTTATAGAATAATTATAATTTCAATAACTAATGTATATATAATAACAGGTATAATGAGTACACATTAACACATTAACACATTAAACAAATACAGTTGTCATTCAATAAGTGAAAACACTAGTTAAGAGTTATAAATCAAATTAAACAGTCAGAAAACTTAAAATATAACATAGTGGAATTTATTAAATACGATACAATTGTTTGTGAAAAGTTCTGCTTATTGGAGAACATAAAACTTGAAAGCAACACAAGAATACGATAATAGAAGATTACCCAAGGAACTATATTGAATAGTTTCGGTGCCAAATTATTATCATGCGTTTTGGAAAATTGATTTATACATCTGTAGGACAATATGGTTGGATTTTTGAGCTATTATATAGGTAAATGAGTCGGTAGTCAAAAGCATTTGTTTTTGCAAAGAGCTAGCGATTATCAAAAATATGGGCCTGTAGTTTTGTAAACTGCAAATTTAAACTGAAAATCTGACAATAAACTGTTACTAAAATACTTTGAAAATCTATTTTGCAAAACTTCCAATGGACGAATATGAAGGTGAAAGGATCCTCCCCAATCCCCGGATTAGTTTTTAAAATATTTTTTCAATTTAGTCATCTGTAACTATCGATCCTTTCTAGGATTTGTCACTCCCCTTTCCACAAAAAACTGGCCAATTGATTTTATCACAATATTTGGATTTCTTCACAAGAGAGGATATACTTTGAATGGACATGAAAAACCGACGTGTTCGAGTTGCAATAGTAGAAGAAAATGCACAAAGTCTCTGTCAATCCATAAGTTTCCCCGTATTTCAGTCATTCATTTTAAAAGATTCCCTCTAACGGAGAAATTTAGAGGCAAGTTAAATGTTGCCATCGAATTTCCTCTAGATGGATTAGATATGAACAATTATGCAGCAGACAATGTGACTCGTTGCCGTTATACTCTATACCTATGCACTTTCGAATCACAGTGGGTCTACCTACAGCGACCATTAAACAACATTCTGCAGACATCCCTAACTGGGACGTGGCACGAATACAATGATTCACACGTATCACCAATTTCACCACTTGTGAGTGGAGATGCATACATCCTCTTTTATGAAAAGGAGGAAACAAGTTCGCACCTTTGAGCGTTTTGAAAAGTTTTTCTTGAACTGTTAATTTTGATGTTATAATGAATTATGCCTATAGAAACAATAGACAGAGATATAATAATCCAAAAGCTCAAATATTATGGTATTGGTGATGTAGTTTTGAAGTGGATAAAAAGTTACCTCAGTTCGCGGAGTCAAATAACAAAAATTAATAGGTGCTACTCACAAGACTTAGTAAATGATTTTGGAGTTCCACAAGGTAGTGTATTAGGACCTTTACTATTTCTGATTTATATAAACGATATCAATTACGTAGATGGTGATCATGTGATTAACTTGTTTGTAGATGATACATTAATATACACCTACGATAAAACCTTGCAAGTCGCTATAATATACACCGAAAACGATATGACCTTGACAAACTTTATTTCTAAAAATATCACATGTTTCTTCTTGGATGTACTGGTGAACAAACGAGAGAATGAGGCATTGGGTCATAGAGTACAAAAGAAGTCAACACATTCACCAGCCAAGACAAAAGAAGGGGGTTATTCGAGCGGACAATACAACCCAAGAAAAATAATACTAAATTGTGAAAAGAACGTGGAATCAGTATTCAGGCGAACGAAACAATCTGAAGTCAGCGAAATATCCCAGAAGGTCTTTAGCAACATCAGAGGTATACGTTTGTTTGAAGGTGGTTGACAATGTTTATTATGTCACAACGTTTCGATTGTTAGTATCCACAATCGTTCGGGTGATAACTGGACTTATTCCTCCGAGATCTGACTATTTATAGGTCATTCGAGTGCTTTCACCTACCCCCTCTTCCCTCTTTCCGCTCTATCGGTTTTGGCGGGAGAATTGATTGACCTCTTTGACCGTTTGGCAGGAGTTGGTCGTCTTTCGCTTGATTAGAGGTTTCCGTATGTTACGTATCTCTACGCTAGCCTGACTAAACGCGTTGTTGGACAACATATACGCGGCTTCTTTGTATTTTCGCCTAAATCAGTGTTCCTCTGGTAGCCTGGTTTTCGTGAGGCTGCTACGGATAGTATTCCCAGATCTGAATCAGGTCCTGATTATACTTGGACTCAATCCGTCTTATCCTTCTCGATAATCCTCTGATGTAAGGAAGTACAAGTACTGGTTGTGGCGGCTTCTCTCCCTTGTGGAGTTCTTGCTGTCTTCTAGCTAAGGCCTGTTCTACCATCACTTTGGAGTAACCATTCCGTTGAAGGTCATTTTTGATGATGCCTAGTTCCTTTTCCAGACCTTTCTTTGTATTACAGAGCCCAAAAGCACGATCCAGTAGAGTCTAGATGATTCCTCTCTTAGTCGACTGATGGTGGTTGGATTTCTGGTTCAGATACTGTCCTGTGTGAGTGGGTTTTCGATATACAGATGTTTCCAATTTAGTGTCGGTCCTCTTCACCAATACGTTTATTTGTTTGGTTGTTGTATGTTATTTCTTTGTAATTTCCGTTTTTTGTTTAATAAAATTGTTATTTTTCGGTTAATCTTTTTGATGTTTTCAGGGTTATCAAATCAATTTATATTATATTTGACAATGGAAGTCCGAACTTATGAAATATATCAGAGGTATACCACCAAATCCCTTGTAGCTGTGGATCGGAACCACGATGAGAACCCATGTCATCGTGTATAAAGAGACATACAATTCATAGCCACTACCTAAGACCATAAAGGAAGACCATAGAAATTCAAAAGTACATAAACAATTTCAATAAAAAAAAGAGGGAAAAAACATCAATATAATCTAGCTAGCTGCACTTAATTACACTCGAATAGAAATGAAGCCACGCTCAAAACCAATGGAATAAAGCTGGAGACACCAACCTTAAATGAAGTGTCTATTCCAAGGACAACCTGAGCATTACAACCATTGCCTCATCGCCTTCGATAATACATACCGCCGTCGTAGACGAAACGTCAGGCATAAAATCCTGTAGACCGCGAACACAAACCCTGAAAGAAGCTTCGAAACGGATACATATTACTCAATGTATTTTATTGCTAGAATAATAACTTTGATAAATTACGTCTGCTGACGACTCTTGGATTTTAGCCTGAGTTAACCTTAACCGAGTTAATTTGTTGATTTTCAATATACCTCTCTGATGCTGTTCTCAATCGTATTGAGATAATTATTCTATGCTAAAGCAGAAAGTAATACAAATCATGAAATTATGAAACAGCAAAAAATAATATGGCGCTCCGGGACGACTTCATTGATTCTAGTGGGGCATTTGTTTTTCAGCTGCACATCATCTGAAGATTTTGATCTGCCAATGTCCTCTCTTTCATAAAACAAAATGTAGGGTGTCTCCAGAGGCTCCAATAAATTCAAGGCATCACCAGAACACTTAGTAACATGACTATCGTCAAACCAGTTCGTTTCGTCTTTGACCAATGCGTAATAATGACCAGATTCAACGCCAGAACCACAGTGAACAATGACAATGAAGATTATAATAGTGGTACGCTAGATTGAAGTGTTCATCTATTCCGAACCTTCGGAAAAGTTTGGAGCTTCCGTCAGAAGTTGAATCATGTTTGAAGATCATCAGTGTTATTATCAGATTGACTGGTGCCTCAGATATACTTGTTTTCTTATAACAGTCAGTTAGTTTGGCGCATGTTTCGCAATACAGTCGATCATTTGTTAAAAGTTTCATTTTCAGATGATTTAACGATACACTTTGCACGTACTGGTTATTAGTCATATTAGGAAACACTAGTTGAAGTTCCAGTTTTATAGTGTGGACTGTCTTAACCGTTTTTTTGCTTTGGTACAATATCTATATCTGGGACAAACATATGCTATCCGCAATTGAGAGATTTATGACTGATTGCAATTCTATTTTACTTAGAATTTGAAAAAAATAATGACAGTCACCCTTACAAAGATGCCCTTTATGGATCGACAGAAAACAAAAAATGAAGAACCACTCGTTAGATCTAATGGCACGATAAGTAGAATTTGAAACCAATATGATGTCTCTGACTTGGTTAGCGAATCGCGAAAAACAGTATTTTTGTTCTGGTAAGGCAAAAGTATTTTCAATAGATAGATTAACCCACGCGATACTTTAGTGCTCTTATGGATTTTTGGGAATTCATTATATATAATTTTTTTCAAATTGTTCTCAACTATGTTTTATACTCTTCATACTTTTTACCTCTTCTCATTTTTCCAAAGCTCCTTTGGCACCCCTATAGTCAAGTTGTTGTAGGCTGTTCCCCTCACAGCGTTTTCCTTTCCAAGATATCTCGAAGTAGAAAAAGTTCTTCCTCCATTTCCTAAAGAAGGACGCCATATCCGCAAAGTGTACGTAACACCACGGGATTGTCTCAAAGAGTGGTGTAGTCTTAGAATACCTCTTGTCATTTTTTATTGGCTATTTGAATCATTTACCTGACAAGTCGAAAAAGCAGGGGGGGAGGCTCCCCCCGGTGGCGACGGCCCTGGCGAAAATGCTTGGACCGAAATATTCGGATAAGTTGGTAGAAAAATAAACTAAATTGAAAAAAATAAAATAAACGACTATTATAGAATATAAAAATCACAAACCTAAGCGGACTGTCAACTGGTATCAACAATCGAAACATCGTGGAATGGGTCGCATTAAAATTACTTTCGTCTTTACTATTTCTGTCATAATCATGACTACTTATCTACAAAAATGTCCACGACAACCACACAATATGAATTAACGATGGTTAATTGGTGATGGTTAATGAAAAAGGAATTCTCAAATGAAATCAAAATAAGTTTGATGACTGTATCGACGAGAGATACATACGAGGGTGGTCTAAAAGTTTCCGACCCAACAAAGATACAAGACATTTTTTCTCTGTAACCCGTCGAAATAGTACTCGGCGTTTTTCTCTGAAAAATAATTGTTCACAAATGTAATTGCCTCCTCATTTGACAAACATCTCTGACCTGCAAGCGCAATTTTCAGATGGAGGAACAAAAAGAAGTCGCTTCGGGCTAGATCTTGTGAGTAAGGCGGATGGTCAAGCAGTTCAAACCATAATTCGTGGATTTTCGCCATGACAACCGCTGAGATGTATGACGGTGTGTTGTGTTATTGAAACAGGATTTTCTTTTTCTGCAAATGGGGCCGTTTTCCGCAAGTTCTGTCTTCAATTTGTCAAGTCAAGATGCGTAGTATGCTCCTGTTATGGTTTTTCATTTTGAAAATAATTGATTGAAATGACTCCATGACTATCCCAAAAAACAGTCGCTCTCACTTTCTAGCCGTAAAAACAGTTTTGGCTTTTTTGGGAGCCAGTATCTCCTTTGCAGTCCACTGTTTGGGCTGTATTTTCGTTTCGGGCGTATGTGTATCCAAGTTTTTCCTACAGCAATTAATCGGTTCCAAAACTCGGATTGATTGCTTCTAAACTGCATAAGTGTTTGTAGAATATAATTCCATGTCCGTCGCGATATTAGTCGGGAAAGTAATTGTTTTCCGACAGGAATTTACTGTATAGGAACGTTGCGGGAGGTGAATGTTTCGAAATTTGATTTCAGACACTCAGTCAATATACATGTAAGATCTGCTGAAAAATATGAGTGGCAACGCAGAGGTAGGACAAAGTTCTAGATAGACTATTCAAGTACACAATATTTATCGTGTTTGTATTCCATAGTATCTTCCAACCACAAAGTCCCATCATCCCTTGTTGGAATTTTTAGAATTCGGGGCATATCTTTCAAGTACCGTTTTGAAATTAAAAAAAACAAAAACAGATTTTTTTAACAATTTTAATTTCATATAAAAACCTGTACTTTAATCTACTTTTGTACATAATTGCCACCATTATTGAGGCACTCAACATTATCGTACAATGCATACCAATGTATGCATACTTTTGTATGTAAATCGGGACTGTATGGAGGGTAATCGAGTTGTTCCCATCGGAATCATGTGATGAGGTCGTGGATTCGATTAGCCGTATGTGGACGAACATTGTCGTGCAGCAAAAAGACGCCCATACTCAGCATACCACGCCTTCCATAGCTCACAATGTTTTGTCCGTAAACTGCACAGATCTCCCGATGAATATCGATCGTTGTTAAGCCTTTTGCACTCAGAAAACTAATAACAGTCCGAACTTCACAATTGGCGGGACTCTCATTTTAAATGCTTGTTAGACTGTCCGTATGGACAGTTTAACAAGCATTTAAAACAGTCGAAGGATTTGTGGTAAAACTTAGGGTTCAAGTCCCAAACAAATCTATTGGATTTATGTGATGATTGTCAGACCAATGATCACGTATGGTGCAATTGCTTGGTGGCCGAAGGCTTTACAGAAAACGGCTCAGGCAAAGCTCTCTGGATTACAGAGACAAGCTTGTCTGGCCATCAGTGACGTCATCAGTACTACACCGTCAGCGGCAATGAAGATCCTTCTAGATCTACCTCCTATCCACATTTTTCTGGAGAGAGAGGCTAGACGGACTGCAGAAAGACTTGTGCACAGTGCCAATTGCACAAATCAATTTAATGCAGAGTACCACACCTTCCGGTTCTGGTGCAGGTGTTTTCAATCGCAGACCCAGGACAGAGATATGAACCTGCCTAGGGACCTATGCGACTGTATTTCAAGCGGAAATTTACGCTATTGAATTGTGTGCGGAGAGATCGGAACAATCCAACCTCACACACAAGTCAATAAAAATATTCTAGGACAGTCAAGCGGCATTAGAAGCTTCTGCTCTTGCAAATTGCAAGAGAAAGACTTGACATATTGTCTCTGGTTTGGATTCCTGGCCACACTGGCCTGGAAGGCAATGAGGCTGCTGACTCCCTTACAAAGGAGGGTGCTGCAAGCAGCTTCATCGGACCAGAACCTGTCATTGGCATCGCTTTAGGCTTTGCCAAACAAAGATTGATTACCTGGATGGCAAGAAGATTTATGGACTTCTGGCAGAATCTTCCAGGATTGGCTCACTCCAAGGCGTTTATTCACCCTTCAAAGATCGATACCAAACAGTTGTTGGACTACAGTAGGGATGAACTACGATGTCTAACAGGCCTTTTTACACGTCACTGTCATTTGAATCATCATATGCAGAGACTCGGACTGTCGGAAGACAGTGTGTGTCACCTGTTTGGAAAATGATGAAACAGCAGAGCACAAACTTTGTGCCTGCCCCGCTAGGTTTTTAGAATTTGGCAGATCCGTACTCTTACCATCTGACCTGAAAGACCACTCACCATGCAAACTAATCGGCTTCGTTAAGAAGCTGGGTTTATTTGGTCGAGTGTGAATAAGTGTAAGCCACAATAAACCCATGCGGGTTGCGGTGGAAGGTCGAATAGACCCACTCACTTTGGATCTAACCTAACCTTGATCACGCACTCAAAGGCGATTGTTGGCGTAATGGCGTCTAACAAAAATGTCAATTGATCTAATGAACGAGAAGGAAGACACACATTGAGATAATAATTGTCTCTGGTTTGGATTCCTGGCCACACTGGCCTGGAAGGCAATGAGGCTGCTGACTCCCTTACAAAGGAGGGTGCTGCAAGCAGCTTCATCGGACCAGAACCTGTCATTGGCATCGTTTTAGGCTTTGCCAAACAAAGATTGAACACCTGGATGGCAAGAAGATTTATGGACTTCTGGCAGAATCTTCCAGGATTGGCTCACTCCAAGGCGTTTATTCACCCTTCAAAGCTCGATACCAAACAGTTGTTGGACTACAGTAGGGATGAACTACGATGTCTAACAGGCCTTTTTACAGGTCACTGTCATTTGAATCATCATATGCAGAGACTAGGACTGTCGGAAGACAGTGTGTGTCACCTGTTTGGAAAATGATGAAACAGCAGAGCACAAACTTTGTGCCTGCCCCGCTAGGTTTTTAGAGTTTGGCAGATCCGTACTCTTACCATCTGACCTGAAAGATCACTCACCATACAAACTAATCGGCTTCATTAAGAAGCTGGGTTTATTTGGTCGAGTGTGAATAAATGTAAGCCACAATAAACCCATGCGGGTTGCGGTGGAGGGTCGAATAGACCCACTCACTTTGATCCTAGCCTAACCTAGATCACGCACTCAAAGGCGATTGTTGGCGTAATGGCGTCTAACAAAAATGTCAATTGATCTAATGAACGAGAAGGAAGACACACATTGAGATAATTTTTTTTGGAACTTCCAGGTCTCGCCTAGAATTTTGTCTACTCGTCCAAAGAGACAGTATTTTCCGGACTTGTTAGGTAAATTATTATTACCTATTCAGTTTGTACTCCAAACATCAATGACACAAAAACAAGTCAAAATCAAGTTCAACACATTACTGCCAAATCAAAACATTCAATTTAGTAATATCTCGTATACTTTTCCGAGAAGTAATAATAATGAGTTACGACGAAATTGTCTAATTTACGGTGTTATCGTTAATGTGTATTTTAACTTGTGGTTTGCAGCAGGTTTCAGATCAAATCTGAATGTGTAAATTGAACTTGAAATGTTTAGTACTAGTTGATCTATTTTGTACATGAATTATGCAAGTTGTAAACTAACTAATGCTAATTACAATGCACTCGTGGATATATCTATATGGGTTCTCAGTATATTTATTTCTATAAATCTTTGCAGGACTGGAACTTTATCAACCTCGGGTTTTCCATAAATTAGGTACATAAATTCTCAATCTTACAAATTTTATAAATATGAAAATGTACGAGATGTTTCATTTGAAATGCAAAAATAGATTTCATATTCGAAGTAGCCATCACTAGTTGGAAAAAACAGCACAGTTGTAAACTAAAATAGAAAAGCGTACTATGAATCTGTCAAACGTGACTTGTTTATTCGAGGGGACCACTGCCGGAAGATGGCGTTGCAAAACTAAGGTATAACAAAGGAAATTCTATTTTCTTTCAAATGGAATACTGTATTCGTTTTTAATTGCCTGTCTAATGTAGCTGACGTGATTCCAAAAGTTTCGTCAAATTGGTGCAGAGTGGGTAACAATAAAAAAGATTTCAAGATGAATGTTATACAAATTATTAAATGAAGCGTTGACTCATAGGCTACCAATAATAATAATAACCTACCTCTTGAGTCCGCATCATATCGCCAAACTAATTATGATTAAAATTCAAATTCAGAATTGAATTTTCATGTTTGACAGTGCCAAATGAAAATAAAATAGTATCTTAAAATCAAAATGAATGAAAATCATGATGTCATCGCTTTTGTTTTGTCAAAATCTCTCTACGCGATTGGTTGCGTCCAGAACGAAAAAGCTGAACGCGCTGAGCTGAATGTAGCGTGAAAGGGTTTTTGAATCGCTTCAACGTTATCCAGCAACTAAATTCAGTAAATACCATTTACCACATTCGGCGGAAAGGTGCCACGATGACAGTACGTAGACATTCATACGGTTGT